AGCCTTTTCGAACACTTATCTGCAGAGATGATGTTCCCCTACATAAGATTTTTTAAAGATAAACACACATGCATCTGCTGTTTATTGTACTTTAAAAATACAAAAAAAAGTTGAGTGCAAAGAAAATTCTTCCAACTGCATTTGTAGAGTGACCTAAGATGTGGGAAAGTTGTCTACTGCTTATGTTATTTTTTTCACCCACTTTTGAGTGCTTTGAGGCTACATTTCCCCTGAGTTATGACAGATATTGCCACCCACCTTAGTTCTTCCTGCCTTTGCCCTAACAGAACCTCTTTGTTGTTTTATCTAATCAGATTCAGAGGCCCTGCTAGAGTTGGCTCTTTCAGACTGTTCAAAGCGCTTATATTTCTTATTTCCCAGGCTTCAGAAGAACTAAAAATAACCAAGCAAAAACCTGAAATGCAAAGCTAATATTCTTGCCAATGTGAAGAAGATATGCTGACAGAATTAACAAGAGATTTTACAGATCTGAGTAATTTTAATAAATGAGCACACTTACTTTTTCCCCACTGAGTTTTCTAAGCTCAGTCTTTGCAAGGCCACTAAAAATTTTTTACACAAATTTTTACCTCACTTTTTTTTCTGAATGAAGATCTTCAGTGTACCTTCATGCAGAGAAAAATTTATTATAGCTTTCTGTATACAAAGTAGAATATTCATACCAGATGAGGGTTTGCAGTTCAAATAACTTTGGGGTGAAAGCAAACCATGTTGTTTCTCCAGTTCTGTGGAAAGTCTAAAGCATTCCAAGCATGGAGAACTCTCGTTGGCCAAGAAGGATGTGTGAAAGGCATAGGTTGCTGGGCTGTGAGGGTTTGTCAAACCAACCATGCATGCATCTGTCTTTGCACAATAATGTTCCCAGGATTTGTCGAAAGTGAAAGCTCTTAATAGGATCTTGCTCGATGGACTGAATTATGAAGCAGAGCAACTTCTTCCATAGAGTTTATAGAGGATTGGAAAACGATAGAAAAACCAGTGTTAGATGTTAGCAAATGCACTTTCTTTAAGTCGAGAGAGTGAGAAGCAGCTGTAATTACTGACTGCAGACGTTCATCCCCTTGAAGGAACTTTTAACTGCTTATATCTGCTGGCAGTAGCAGCTTTCTCTCCTGCAGCTAAGAATTACAGCAACTTGGTGCTCCCTCTGTTCAAGAGCAACTGAAACGTTGGCAGCACAGAGCACAGCATTAAGGCAATTCAGCATTTACACAAACGAGGAAAAGGGAGGATTCATTTTCAAAAAGTCTGAGAAACACTGCTGTAGACTGTGTCTGCTAATGTACACAAACCTTGAAATGGCCAGCAACATGACAGCTTCCAATCTTGTAGCTCAGCTTGAGGGACACAAGTACAAAACTGAAATAAGATTTGCAATGGGTTTAAGCTGCTGGAGCAGTTTAAAACACCAAACAGATTACTTGTAATCTAGTGGAGAAGCTGCATGATGGAAAAGACCTGGTAGGTGAGATGCTATGTCAAGTTCAGCTACTGTAACACAGTCTACTTTAAATCAGGCCCTCGCGATTTGAGGACTATGGTTCATAAGCAATGGAGCAAAATAAGATGTGCAGTAACACAACAGTGAAAGCATTAAAAATTATATTTTAATCTGAAATTATACTTAGGTGAACTATTTTATCACTAATCCCAATTTAACAATGCTAGAATTTTTTTTTTTTCCTTGCAAAAAAAGCGAGACAAAAAACAAAAAACCCAAAACAATTCCACATACTTCAGTTTCCTATGAGCCTAAAAGAACGCTCTTCTTTTATCAGATGCATATAGTGGAAAGGATTTTAAGTGCATAGTCATGTAAAAAAGTATTATCACAGTAGGCATGAACAGAGAATGCAGTTTAAAGAACCTTCTTAATTCACCACTGTTTGTTTGCTTTTCATTCAGTATGAAACTGTTAACCTTTAAAAAAACATAACCAAGAATATGGCTAAATATTTATTATCATAATCTCATATTTCACATATTTGCAAGTTCAGTACTGAAATACTATCTAATGCAGTGCCTCAGCCAAAGTGGATGTGGCAGACGTTTTGTTTCTTTTTTATTTGATGTCTTTTTCCCCACTGACATTTACAGATGATATGAATCTGAAATAAGACATGCAAAAACAAAAGTATGTATATCTTATCCCTTTTAATTTTACCATTAATAGCTTGAAATCGTTATACATGTATTTAAAGCCTTATATTTTAACAATCTGAAGTAAAAATGTTTAAGTATACACAAGCCACATTTGAAAGAGAAACCAGTAACTACAGTGGCAAAATCCAGTTTTACGCAGGTCAACAAAGGCCTCTCACTGATGTCAGCAGAGACAGAATTTTACCTTATAATCTGGGGCTCTACCCAGCAGGATCAACTTCAGAACCTGCAGCTACGCTTCAGCTTTAATTGCCACATTGCATTTATGGCCACGTTCCTTGCTCAAATTCATGGCTATTCCTGTTCTCAGTTTTTTAAGCTCCACTGTTAAGAGCTCTTGAGAGCTACAAATGGTTGGCATTAGAAGGAAATGAGAAATCTTTTAAGTGGCTATTGTGCATGTCACTTGAATGCACTGGATGACATTTCAACACTAGGCAATGCCTCCTCTCCACAACAGTCATCAAGAGTGGTTTGGGTTTTTTCCTCCCATATGGGTACTGAGGTTTCCAACAGCACTGATCCCTCTGCACATTTTTCTATACTTTGTAAGAGCCCCTTTGAACACACTTCTGCAGACAGAAAGGCTTCAATCTGCAACAGTTTTTTAACAGCTTGCAGGACGACTGAGCCCTTGATGTGATTATTTGATTATATATGAAATAACTCTCATGATCAATGAGTGATGTCACGGCTATCACTTTGAAGTTAATAGCAAAATTTGCACTGGCTTAAATGTGAACAGGATCAAGGCGTGCAGCATGAGACTGACATCTCTTAATTAATTTCCATATTTCCCTTCAGATGCTCATGCCTTGCTCCATGCTGCTTTTCGAGACGAGAGAAAAGAGCAAATGTTGGAAACTGATGTTTTCACCAGCTTCAGGCTGTCATGCCTAACAAATTGTTCCAGTATATTGGTTTACACGGGCATCTTATCCTTGATCAGCTCCCACGTTTCCCATAGACAACAGGAGAAGTTGCACATGAGGACAAAATGAATGACCCATATTTTGCAAATGGAAATACAATACTCCATCTGCAGACGAAAGGCCCGACTGAAGTAAGCGCATGGCACCTTCAGCAAAGTAATTTCTACAGACTTCAATGGGAAATACACAGTCCATATTTCTTTGCGTCTTTGAGTATAAACTGTAATTTATACTTGCATAAAACAATCTGGGATATATAAAGGCCATATTGGAAGCACGGTTTTTATCTCTTGCACTAACAGGAAATGAGAGACAGTAATCAAATTTTAACTACTTTCTCACTTGCGATGAGTATCCAAGACCGGCTGAAGAAAACTTCCTTTCAAAATCTTTTCATTTTGAGTCTGCTCAACAGAGAACCCAAATGTGTGTGTGCGAACAATATTCATTTGTATTCCTAAGTGAGCTCGTTTTATTTTGCCATTTCCTAAATGCTGGCGTACAAATTCCTGAAGCGACGTGACTCTCACAACAAACAGAGCTGGCAGCCCCGTGCTGGACAGCACATGTAAGTACAGACGGCAATTGTTCCACGGTGCCTGAGAGACACTGGTCAGGGAAGCAGGGGTCATTAATTTCTCTGCATATTTTAAGCATTGCCAGAGATGCGCTAGAATGTATTAAAAGCTTTTGTGCCGTGGTTTTAACACATCTTAGCGCATCTCTGGCATGCGGAAGCATGAGGAAAGCTTTAGAAGATTTCTGAGGAAGAGTGAGAAGGGATAGTTCCCTTCGGGCTTTTGTGAGAGAAAGCTACATGCTTTCAGCTCTCCCTCGAAGCACAGCCCTAAGCAACACTATAGCATCACTGAATATCCTGTCCTGGCTGGGATCCACCAGATGGTGACCAACTCCTGGCTCCACATAGGGCAACTCAGGAGCTAAGCAGGAAATAGTTAATACCTCCACATTTATTAGTTATACTGGTTAATACCTTCATGTTTAAGCAAATAATGTTGATGCCAGAATCTTGAATGGAATTAGAATGGATTCCATGAAACGTGTAACAGCAGGACAAGGGGAAATGGTTTTAAGTTGAAGGAGGGAAGACTTAGGCTGGATCTCACGGGGGAAGTTCTTTACTATGAGAGTGGTGAGGTGCTAGAACAGCTACCCAGAGAGGCTGTGGATACCCATCCCTAGAGGTGTTTGAGGCCAGATTGGATGGGATCCTGGACAGCCTGGTCTAGTATTAAATGGGGAGGTTGGTGGCCCTCCATGTGGCAAGGGGCTTGCAGATTCCTGATCCTTGAGGTGTCTTCCAACCTGGGCCATTCTGTGATTCTGTGATGTACACATGGCACTGAGGGACATGGTTTAGTGGGCATGGTGGCGAAGGACTGACAATTGGACTACAGAAATCTTTTCTGTCCTTAGCGATTTTGTGATTCTACGATACATCGCAGGCATTGCCCAAAGGCTCCCCGAGCACTGCCAGGCCTGGCGCACAGCCGTTAGCGGCAGGCGGTGCTAAAGGAGCGCCGTCCTGCCGTGACCCTTCATGGCGGGACCGCTGAGCGCCGCTGAGCGCCGCAGCCCGCCCTCCTCCGCCGGGCCCCACCGGCGCTTCTCTCCCGCCGCCCAGCAGGGGGAGCCGCTCCGCACGCTACGTGAAGGCGCGGAGCCCGCCGCTCACACGCCGACGTGTGCCACAGTAGTGATGGCCGCTGGAGACGTCTCTCCCTCCCCTATTCTAGTCACGCTCCCCCGTCACGTGTCCTCCAGGCGGAACTCAGGGGCGGGTCACGTGGTCCATCCCGGGGCGGTCAGCTTCGGCGGGCGCTACGGTGGCCGGGAGGGTTTCCTTGACAACGGCGGCCACGCGCGAGCGAGCTGGAGGCCTGGGCCGGGGCTGGCGTTTGAACACCGTCCCACAGCCCAAACTCAGCAGCGCCTGTCGGGCCGCGGAGCCGGAGGAGCAGAAGTCCGAGCCCTCTCCTTTGGCAGCCGCGGATCCCAGGGCGTTTCGTGTTCCGTTATTGCTAAGCCTCCTCTTTTAACGGTATGACTGCAGAGGGTGATGGCTGTGTGTGTTTGTCTTTTTCAAAAGCAAGGATCTATTCTGTTAGCTTTTCGGGGGAAGCAGTTTTAAGATAAATGCAATTGCAGATGTACCAGAAGAATTAATTTATTTTTCTGGCCCGGCTGGAATTAAGTACTCCCCGTTTGTTGAAGCAATTAGGGTAGCCAGAAACTAAACTGCTAAACCGTATCCTATCTGCAGCGTCCTTCGATGGAAAGGTATAAAAGATTATGTGTGTCCTGAGAGGTAACGTCCTTAATCTGCTTACCGGGTGTTCAGAGATGTTTCCAGGTGCTTACGTAAGGATACCTGCTTTAATTCGAAGCACGGGCAGTCTGCTCTAACTTGTCTTGCTCAAACTGTTGAGTGGTGTTTTTTCTTACCTGTCAGAGCTGAAGCGTGGGGTGTTCTGGGGATGGAGGAGTGAAAGCAGGAAGCAGTTCTCACAGTTGCCTGTCAAAGTAACTTTACCAGGTAGGTAACAGACCTCTGTACTGAGGGGCTCAGTGCTGGGAGAAGTTTTGTTCCATGCTAAAACCATTTCTGCAGAAGTTGAGCCCTTTTAGGTTGGCATAGCCCTTCATAGCCTCGGAGGTGCTGAAGTAGTTTAATGCTGCCACGCATACACAGCTTAGAAGGGAGCCATGAATGTTGAGCACTGCGATGTGCAGAAGCTTTGTGGCATGTTGAGTGTTGGGCATATTTTATACCGGAGAAATCAACAAAGACTTTTGGCAAAGTGCTGTGGGCAAGTGCTATAGGCTTCCTGTGTCAGGACACATCAAACTGAATACCATCTTCCAGTCTTGAGGACTTTCATCTATTTCTGAGTCCCAGGCACGGCAGAGATTAGGAAACAAAACTTATAATGCCACTTGTCCCTAATTCTGAAAGAAAAGAAATCGTAAGAAGAAATTAAGAGCCCTTAAAAATGGGTAGGAATTATTACTGCAGTGTATTCTCGTTTGATCATTGATAAAAGTCTTAATTGTGAGTATAAAAAGAGCTATTTTTGAAGAATAATGTAAAGGCGATGAAGATACATTTTATTTCTCTCTCCAAATTTGAATGCTGAATCTATTGTTTATGAACTTAGTATTTTGTTTATAGAGAATCTGGGTAACTTGTGTATTTGGCTTGGGAGGGATAAAATTTGGCAGATTTCTGGAAGTTTTTCTGTTGTAGTTCTGTTAAAGTAGCAAATTGCTTGGCTTCGTTTGATTTTAGAATGCTTTTAATTAACTCTATTCTTATTTTAAGTCTTAGTATTGAAAGATTAGAAGGTAACATCCAGTTGCAGATTATGGCTCATCAGTGTTCAAACGAAGAATTAGATAAGCAGTTTGAAGAGTTTCTGAAAGAGGTAAGTTTCAGAACAAAGTTACATCTACTTTCCTCATTAAAACACAGAAGAAAAATTGGGTGTGGAAGATCATGAGATAGAATGCATGGCTATGCTTCTGTCATATAATGCACATAGCTGCCTAATGGGTGGCTTTTGGCAACATTGTAGTTAAATGTAGTTCATCCTAATTTAGATTTAAATCAAGAGAATGGTTTTGTAATTAAATACGAGCATGTTGTTGCTGCTAGGTTGAATCTTCAGAAAGAGCCTTTCGTTCTGGGTTTTGCTTCATTTTGTGTGTCTGTGTTATTTTGTAGTGGAGGCTTCAAATTGATATTTAATTGAAAATAGAGGTAATGAGATCAAAATACTTTTCTCTATGCAGTTGTAAGGTGTGTTTTAAGATGTCCTTATTTTTCTGAGTAATTCTGATTTCATTGCATTTAAAAATTCTTATTTCACCAGTAAGGAAATATGTTGTCGGGATTGGGAAATTTTTATTTGAACTTTTGTATTGCTTATAGTGCTCTGAGTACAGGAAAAATCATGCAAATCTGTGGGTTATGACTTAAGCTCAGAATTATCAGACATGGTCAAAATTTCATGACTTGGTATATTTCTTCATTGGATGTGGCTTTGTAATTTTAGTGTTCGCTCTCTGATCTATCAGGTACACAGTGCAGTAAGGTGTAGATGCCACATACATAAGGCCTTTGCTGAATGAAATTACAGTATGTAAGCATAGCTAATGGTTGCCATTCTTGCAGACTACTCTTGAGATTTCTGTTATCTGTTAGGAACATTTGGATTTTGTGTTGAGGGACATGTTTTAGAGAGTGCTATTGGTGATAGGTGGATGGTTGGACTGGATGATCTTGTAGGTCTTTTCCAACCTTGGTGATTCTGTGATTCTGTTATGAGTAATGAATGCTTGAAGATTTTTTGATGCAGAGGCTATGCCACAATTTAATTACTTGTGAAAAATGTAGGTAGCAGCTTCTATAAAAGTAGCACTTTGTACTGTGCAGTAGAGAACTGTAATAACAGTAGACTTCTTTTTCATGAATATTTTAGCTTTCCTGTGTAAGACACATTTTCTGCCTTGACTGTGCCACTAGTGAGTTACTTTTCTAATTATGATATAAATGTAACTTAATTGAGCAATACTAAATTGAGAGTATACATGTCATCTGAATATTAAGATTCACAAATAAATATATATTTTGGCATTTAATGTGATTGAAAGAACATTATTGAATTTACTGGAATTATTATTATTTTTTTTTTTTTAAAGGAAAGTAGACTTTGGACATTCATCTAAAATGCTTTACTATTGCTGTGAAGTTGCTTTGAGGAAAAGAGATTTATTCTTTTGTTTTATTTATTTTGCCCATCTGACAAACGTCTGCATTTGATCATTCCTTGTATTTCATTCCTCATTTGATATGCTCTTCTTGCTCTTTATTTATTGCTCAGATAGAGAATGCTTGAGTTACGATAATTCAGTACAGCTATTGTGATTTAATTTTTTTTCCCCTAAATGGCACTTAGGAAAAGCGCGTAATTTTTAGCAACTCACACTGTAATGTATGTATTTTTTAGCATCCCAAACTAACACTGTTTATGAAGGGTGTACTCTCATTCCAGTCATTACAAGTATGTACTGGTTTTTGCCTTAGTCACTACATACAGACCCAAAAAATGATGACATTATCTACGCTGTTACTTTAGGTACCTGTATCTTCCACTGTATTCCTCCCTTTTTTTTCTTTCTATTTTTTTAGTTTTTATTAAAAGTGGGCAGCCTTTTTTTGTTAGAAAAATAAGAAACTGGTATGGTCTGTTTTCTGGAATGTATGGCTGTGTAGGTGACCTTTGTAGTTGAGTATATTAAGTGGAGAGAAGAAGCAAAAACTGTTTCTTAGTTGTTGGTATAAGATTTGTTTAAGCAAATTTTTCAGGGAAGAGAGGGAGCAGGGTATTTTTCCCCTATTAAATAACTCTTGCTCTTAATGGAACTATTGTTTGGGAAGGATTTGAGATGAAAATACATGTGTGGTATGAAAACAAAGTCAAAAGAAAGACTAGGTGCATTAGGATGATGCAGGTCTAGTAGGAGGATTAAACTGAAGAAACTGTATGGTGTATGCACTGAATGTCAGAAACCAGCAGTAAGGAGGATTTTCTAGGCTTTTTTTCATTACACAAAGGGAAACAAAAATCTGTAACAGCAATTGTCGCGTGCAGAATCATTCTTTTAATGATTCCTCAGCCAGGTCACAGTTATTCCAAAATACTTTATAGAACAGCGTGTTGTCATCCATAGCACTTCCTCCTTCACTGTCTATGTAGCTGTGATCCTTCCACTGCCTTCTACCAGCTTTAGTGTATTTATCCTACTTCACTTTCATTTTCCTTATGTATCATCTGTCATTTTGATATAGCCAGTGAGTGTGCTATTGTTGGCTATGAAGTTTCCTTAAGATGTACCATGCAAGTTCTTTCTCATGCACAGTGCTTCTATTATTTGCTTTTTTTTTTGATAATAGAATCACAGCATGGCCTGTGTTGAAAAGGACCTCAATGATCATCTAGTTTCAACCCCCTGCTCTGTGCAGGGTCTCCAACCACCAGACCAAGCTGCCCAGAGCCACATCCAGCCTCCTTGAATGCCTCCAGGGATGGGGCATCCACAACCTCCTTGGGCAACCTGTTCCAGTGCTTCACCACCCTCTGTGTGAAAAACTTCCTGCTAATATCTAACCTAAGCCTCCCCTGTCTCAGTTTACAACCATTCCCCCTTGTCCTATCACTATCCACCCTCATAATATTAATGACAAAGCAATGCACAGACAGGAGAAAAAAACAAACACCTATTATCTGCTTCTGGACTTCTAGGCTGGCTTTTATCCCACATAATATGTGGTAACAGCTGAGACGGAAGGATATTTGACATTTAACCATGTATGGAAAAAATGTGTTTTTTTTTTTACTAAAAGATCAAGTATGTTAAGATACCATAATTTGCAGTAGACTTGAAACAAGACTTTTTCATGAAATAGTTAGGACAACTGGTCTTGGGTTCTGAATCCAATTCTGCCTTTGCTTGTCTACTTAAGTTTCTTCTTGTCTCTAGGAGATGGTAAGGTCCATTTTTTTTACCCTACAGTTGTTCCAGGTCTTGAAACTGACTCATTCTGCTTTTAGTTCAGTTTGGATTAAACAGCTGATTTCTTTTATTCTTCTGGTTGGCTATTTTCCTGAAAGGCTGAGAGGCTCTTTTGTAGGGGAGAGAAAATACGGATTATCTGTGCCTCTTGCTGATTCTTGAAAATCCATTACTGGTCCAAAGATTTGATTATTATTTTTGTAGCTTTAATTTTCCTTTTGGACAATAAACGTGTAAGTTTCACTACTGACATGTTGAAAAAACTCTAGCATGTTTGTGTCAGCTTTTCTTTTCCCAGCTGCTGCAGCTTTACTGTCTGCAGTTGACAAGATGGCTGGACACAGAAAGTTTCCAGAACTTGAGAGCAACAGCTGGGAGTTTCAGTTACTTTAGTTACAATACTCCAAGGATCACCAGCATCACTGAAGTTCTGACTGCAGAGTAGACGATTCTGTTAGCTGTAAAAGAAACTGCAGGTGACAACAAAGCTTGCATCAAACACCTGTTGGTACTTGCAGCCAGCAAGAGGCAGCCAAACCTTTGGGGACAACAGCACCGCTACTTATGTAGTGACTAGTATAAGGAAGTTGTTATTTATAGGATATTTATTAAAAATGTAAGACATTTTTGTTCTGTGTGTCACTGAGCCAACATAAAGAAATTGCAGTACATCCTGTTCTCCGGCAGTTTCATAATTTACAAAAATTCTGTTTCATTACATTGCAAATCGTGGTGCACTAAGATTTTCTTTCTGAGGCTTGGTCAGGCATTTTGTTACAGTGAAACTGAAGATGTTTTTGGTCAGAGGCATTGGTCAGATTGTGGTTGTTTATTTTTTTTCTTTTCTCTCTCCCACAGTGCCTTTAGAGGATTGATGTTTGATTTACTGATGTTCCTGTGAGGTGCATATACACCGAGCCCTTAGATACAGAGTAATTTTGCAGTAATGTTTGTTATACACAAGTGTCACACAGTGGTCTACAGAAGATAACTTTAATAAAATAACCTATTTCACTTTACATGCTAAGCATGTGTAGTCCTGTTGCTTCCAGAACTGTTTGTGCTCTCACATTTTCTTATTTGTGACTATTAGAAAAGTAAAGCTTTTGAAATTTTGCCTTAAGATGCATTTCATATGTGAATTCTTTGTGGCTTTTGGTGACTTTGTTTACTGCGTTCTCTAACATTTTAGGACAATTGATTTTGAAAATGACGACTAAAAACCTAGGATGAAAATAAGCAGTATGTCACACCCCTTAACCTTATGCTCACTGAATTAAAAGCACAAAGACTGTAACACAAAAGGCTGCAATGTGCTGGAGTAATTCTTTTAATCTTTGGTACTGGTAGTGCAGATAGAAAGCAGGATTCTGCCAAAGAAGGAAAAAGACTGGAAGTGTCAGGCTTCCTGTGTAGCTTAAGGTTTATTTTGTGCACAAATATATTTTAGATTGGATATCTGGACAGCTAACTGGGTACTGCCATAGGCCACAGAGAGCTGTATTAAGAAAGAGGACCAGAGATTTTATTATTATTTATTATTTTTATTATTATTAATTTTCTTAAAGTTGTACCATGTCAGAAAAGTGTTATTATCTTATGAAGCATATTTCCTTCTTGTTACTCTTTAGCAATTTACATTTTTAGGATATTGTTGGGTTGGTTTTTTTTTGTCTTCACTGAAGTCAGCCATCATTTGGAATCAATATAGGTAACTGAAAAATGCATGCAGAAGCTTAATAGCAGTCAGCTTGGAATAGTTCTGGCATTTCTATTGATTTCCAGGAAGAGAAAGCACAAAGTGCATTTCTGAAATTCAATTTGCTGGGAGCTAGGAAGTTGCTTGTGAAAGTTCATTTTTAGAATATTAATAATGCTCATGTAAAAAGGCTGGCAAAGCAAAGTAGGTTTTACTCTACTGTATCTTTTTTTTTTTTTCCATGCTTTTTATTTAATATTTAGGGATGTAGGCAGGATTTTGCCTGCTTGTATATTGAACTAAGATATGAACATACGCTCTACTAAGCAGTTAACTTTTAAGACTTGCAGATACTGACAGTGAACTTATTGTATTAAATGCAGTACTGATACACATAAATATTATTGTCTTTTTACTCAATTTTATAGGCATATGCAAAAAAGGCAGGTAGTAGGGAATAAAGACAGTCAGCTAAACTCTGACGTTGAAGAACAGTGTGGCTGAAATACAATTAAACAGTGAGAAAATGTAAAAACTGTCTTTAATCTTGTATGCAATTGACTCAGTCTCTTTCAGACGATTCACCTGGAAATTCAGAAAAGAAGTCCAGCATTCTTGAGACATTGGGGCTGCCCAGGAAAAAAGAAACAAAGCAAAAGGATGCAGTGCCGTGGTGGCTATGTGAGGAAGATTTGGATGATGGTGGTAAATAACGTAGTTCTGTAGTTTTTTGGCCACAGGGGGTCGGGCTAGTTCTTTCTTTTCACAATGGAGTTGTTACTTTGGAACACTATTGCAAATGATAAAACTCAAATGTAATCACATCTTTCTTTTAAGAAGAGATCATATTCCAACTGTGGGAAGGGTTTCTGCTGTTTGTTGTTTTTTTTCTTCTTGTAGTTTTCAAGTTACTGAAACTTGTAAACAGTAAATAGAGTATAGTAATTAGAAAATGTAGCTTAGGATTTCAACTAAAATATTTGTGGATTTCTTTTGTAACCAACCTGTTCCTCATAAAGACTGAAATAACAACAGCAGCTGTTTAAAACACATACTGCTGTCAGTACTCAGCATTTCCCTTGCCATAAGCCACAGCTTAAGGGAAAAAGGGCTGTGACAGCGTGGCTGCTGGTTCAGTATTTTCTTGATCATGCAGTTATAGAAGAAAATACTGTTTGCAGACTTTCCACCTCTAGGTTTCCACGCCATCATTTTTTTCTTCTTTGGTAATAAACTACGGGAATACAGAGTTTCCACAGTGTGGTTGCATATTCTTATTGTAATAATGTGGCTTCTTATTTTCATGATTTGAATAACTTGCAACTGGAGCTTGCACTCTGCTCTTGTGAGGCCCCATCTGGAATACTGCGTCCAAGTGTGGAGCCCGCAGTACAAAAAAGACAGGGAGCTGTTGGAGAGGGTCCAGAGGAGGGCCACTAGGATAATCAGAGGACTAGAGCACCTTCCCTATGAGGACAGGCTGAGGGAGCTGGGCTTGTTCAGCCTGGAGAAAAGAAGGCTGCGGGGTGACCTCATTGCAGCCTTTCAATACCTAAAGGGAGCCTACAAACAGGAGGGGAATCAACTCTTTAAAAGGGTTGATATGTGTAGGACAAGGGGAAATGGTTTTAAGTTGAGGGAGGGGAGATTTAGGTTGGACATCAGGGGGAAATTCTTTACCCAGAGAGTGATGAGGTGCTGGAACAGGCTGCCCAGAGAGGTTGTGGATGCCCCGTCCTTGGAGGTGTTCAAGGCCAGATTGGATGGGGCCCTGGGCAGCCTGGTCTAGTATTAAATGTGGAGGCTGGTGGCCCTGCATGTGGCAGGGGGGTTGGAGATTCATGATCCTTGAGGTCCCTTCCAACCCTGGCCATTCTGTGATTCTGTGGAGCTTAACAGTCCCACAAATCATGTTTTCATACGATGAGGTTAAGGTATTGCTGGAAGCCTTCTAATTTTAAGTAGAGGTCTGTCCTGTTAGCACTGCTGTAACTCAGAGACAAATCTTAGTCAGAAATTGTGTCATCTAGGCATAGCCTTAATAGGTGTTATCTAGACTCTATGTATCTCTGGCTTTTAAGATATTGCTGGAGAACTCCAGTGAACATGAGAGAGCTCCTGTCAGGCAGTGCAAGACAGTTATGGTGGTTATGAGATAGGTTTTTTTATCCCTTTTCAGAGAAACTGAAGGTCAGAGTGTTCTTGCTAGCCAGGGTAGGAGAAGTAAGAGGTTATAATGACTTTATTTCTCTTCTTTTTATAAATGAAAATTTTCAGAGGTGTCTAGAAGTTAGCATTCCTCCATTTTTTTTTCTGAGATGCTCGAGGCTGCCCACAGAGCACTTTGATGTTTCTCCAGTTATTTCAACCAGAAGTACTGGAATAGGTACTCTAAGGGCAGAGTAATTAGACATTTTGGAGGACAGTTCTTGTACGGTTTAAATACAACTACAAAGCAGCATAAGTAGTTGTGTGATAATGTCAAGTTGTTCCTGTCCTAACCAACTCAATTGGTTTTATTTTTTAAGCCAAGGATATCTTAGAGGCCCTGTAATTTAACTACAGGTACTAGAATGGAAGCATGCCTGATCTGCAGTTAGTTAACGTATAAATCATACAGTTCTAGTAAACTTGGTGAGGTTTCTTTAAAACAAGCTTCTCCTTCAACATGAAAATATTTAAAGAGACATCTACCCAGTTTTCTAAATATGGAATCCATTTACCTGCGGAAGAAGCAGGCATGTTCATATTCATGTTTTTCTTGAGGGGCTGGCTTATTTTCTCAGAGGGAGTCATAAGTAATCTGTGCATAATGGGTTTTGATTCAGATGTCCAATGTGTCTTGGCAGTTGGACTTAATAAAACTGAGCTTACGAATGTAAGGCAAATATGGTGGATCTCTGCACTGAAGTCTTCTCTGAACACTGTCTTTGCCAGCCTGATAGTTTTTATTTCGTCTGCACATCTGTCCTCCTCCTGGGTGTTGATATCTGCACTTGTGGGTCATGTACATTAAGCCATATGCCACCTGGTACTTCAGAATTTTAAAACAGAGAGGCCTTCAAGTTTTCCTAGAAAACCTTGTTGGTGCTCCTTTCCAAAAGAGAATATATCTCTGTGTCATGAAACATAGTTCCCAATCGTGTCATCTCATGGGGAAAGGGCTGTTTGTCACACTGGGCACTCACAAATAGTACCAGTTGCATTAGCCTGTGATAGATTGTGAACTGCACAGCAGAGAAGTAGCCTGCACTATAAGAGATGCCATTTTGCTAGTTAAAGTTCGGATGCAACGGAGTTCACTTTGCAGAGGTCGTTTAGGCACCTTCACTATGAGCTCAGTTTTCCTCTGCAGTCATAAAAGTAGACAGCTTGTATGTGGCTAAAGTCGAGAGTGATAAATCCCCTACATAAAGGGCTGATTTCTGTGTGTGCACACTACAAGCTATTTTATGATTTTCATTTGTGTAGATAACTTTTGCAGAGGTTTAAAATGACAGATTGTGTTATTGTGAGGAATACCAAAATAATTGTCCCACTGAAGCAATAATGTTGCTTTGGTGACAAGTAAGGACATTAGCTGGATATAAATTTGGAATAGTGTAAAATTGGCATTCTTCAAAACTTTTCAAATCCTTGTGTATTCTTGCAGGCTTGAACCTCTGCATTGGTTTGCAGATAATACTCTTACGTTACCTGACAGCCTGTTAATAAATATTATTCTCAAAGTATTTTGTTCTCTCGAATCAAATTTAATTAAATGTATGAATCTCTCCTTCACCACAGTGTAGCATTACAAATAGGTGAGCTAGCTCCATATGAGTTCATGTTGTTGGGTTACAACATAGAGAGATATTGTGATGTTAATAAGGTACAAAGCCTGGCTAACTAGCTTGAATGATGCACCAGGGTTGTCTCTATTTTGGGGTTTTCATTTTCTCCTACTTCCTGCTACATTTTTTTCTGCAACGTCAGTACCTATATTGTGCATTCTAGAAAGATGTAATACAAGTGATTGGAGGACTAAATATACTATGCATTTAGTTGTTATCTGGCTGATTTTTCCAAGGCATGTATTGCAGAAATGCTGGAAAATAAGTAGAAGTTTAACTAATCACCTGTTTTCACTTAGTTTTATAGTTTGATAGTAACCTGAGTAAATTACTTCTGTTCATTCAGCTAAGTGGAATAAAGTACGTTTTCAAATTACTCTGCTTATTATCCTAGACACGTTTGAAGTCTGTTCTTCAGTTCTAGGCTGAAATGTATAAATTATGATTCAGGATACTGTCTTCCAAATTTGAGAAGTTAAAGACCTTCCTGTAGCTAATGTAATATCTATTTGCTTTTGTCATTTAAACGATAGATAAATTGGATAATCAGAACTCCTGTCCTGTCTTAACACTTGCCTGTCTCGCTGTTTGTTTCACTTTTCAAGATTTCCAAACAAGATTTGTTAAACTGAGAGATAAGAAGGAAAGGATGGAGATCCATGACGAAGTAGTGGAGAATAGTGAACAAAAGATTCCTCGTTCAGATTTCCAGTCTGGTATTTTATTAAATTTTATGTTTTGTTCAGTTAATTTAATATCAGCCTTATATAGTAATATAAGTGCTTTTCCTGTAGAAAATCTTTTGCAGAATTTTTGGCCATAGTTTTCTCATGATAGCAAGCTGCCACTTAATTGATTTGTCATTTCCTGAATAAACCAGTAGGTGTGTGAAGCTTTGCTTTACTGTTGCTGCATCGTACATCACTGTTGGTAGTGATGCAGGCAGACAGACAGTGTTGAATATAAGGAAACGAAGGAAAGTAACTGAGCGTCTTAACTAAGATCAGTATTGTTAGTAAATAGAAAATATCTTCTCTGTATTTCATATTGGAGAAATAGTAATATTCACTGTTCTGTTTGTTTAAGCTGAAAGACTCCAATCTGCATAAGTATTATATGCACTTCCTATTGATATGATTATTTTCCCCCTGCTGAGCAGCGGGTTGCTCTGTGCATGGTGCCCTGAAGTGGGAACAGTACAGTTGGTGTCTTCATGACAAATTCAATTTTTTTAATTTGCAGGATCATTTTAATTGATGTAATATCACATTCAACCTGTTATGTTAAGTAACTATCTTTATGCTATCTGAGAAGAAACTCCAAAGAATAATTAAAAATCATAATTGTTGCTGTGTGAAATACTTATGTGTAAAGTACAGTAGCAATTAGTGTTATGTATAAGGTTAAATACAGCTTTGGTGTTGAGTTCAAGAAGATTCAATAATATTTTGGATGACAAAGAAATATTTGGCACTTGGTCTTTAGATGATGTTTGTGACTGTGTAGCTTATAGAACATTTTCCTTATGTTACCTTTCTAGAGTGTACATCCTGTTTTCCTAAGCCTCCTTTGCACAAAATATGTATAAAGCATCTCGGTCTGGGAGATAAACGCAAAAATTGACTCTATGCCTTGAATTAGGCTTAATATTTGAAATATGAGCCGTACAATGAGTTTGGCACTTATTTCAAATTACTGTTTTGGAAGGCCTTGGGTTTTTTTTATTGCTTCCAACAGACTATGCACTGTCAGCCCTTCTGGTTTCTCAGTAGATATGAGAGAATGTGAAGCTGGATAAGTGATGTCTCACAATGGACATCAGTCATGGGAATAAATAACCTAGGTGTTGTATCAGGAAGTGTTTTTCTACATTTTTTTATATGTTGACTTTTGCCATGCATCTACCAGATGCTCACCAACTTCATTTAGTCATCTTACCTGTTTCTGATTTGTGCTAGCTTCTGGTCAGAAAAACAATGTGACCTTTGAGGTCCCTTCCAACCCAGGCCATTCTACATGGTTCGTATCTTCCCACAGTCCTGTTTCTAGACAAAAGAAGTACCTGGCTACATTCCTCAGGCAGCTTCTGCTCTCTTTTGTGTCAAGATAACTGTACTAAAGAGTTATTTCTGTTAATTCTGGAACCAAGAACTTTTCTCTGAATTGTCCAGTTTATAAGCTTCCTCCCACCAAGTACACACTTGAAATTTTGGATAAGTCAGTCTCATGCTATGCACCTAGCTAGTCTGAGATGTATGAAGTGTAGAGTGTGACTGTCATCTAAGTTTCATGAGAAAGCAGAGTTTTCAACATTGGTATTGATATGTAAAAATTGATTACTGGTGATGTGAATGGAAGGCATTTGATTTTAGTGGCCAAGCAAATTCTCCAGTGGGTTTAAGTGGACAAGTGCAGTTTTTTTAAACAGCCTAGGTAAAGGGAGCAAGAATTCATATCTTATCTACCTAAGTTTTTCTGCTTTTCTTTTAACTGATCTAGATGCTTTCTTTTGAGATTTGTAGTACAGTACAACTTGTGTTGTTGAAATAGTTGTGTTGATTTTTTTTCTGCTTTCAAGTAATGTACATATTGAGCTCTGAGAACAGTCTATTTGAATGCAAAGTATGTATGGAAAAAGAACTAATTAGCAATTTGTTGGTTTTTTTTTGCTTACTTTATTTAAAGAGTAGAAGATAGTTGTAGTTTCAGAATAGATAAGTACTAACCCTTTAATTTTTATATAGCTACAAAACTGTAGATAATTCAATCTACAAAAAACTGAGTTGTATTACTTTTTCAGAAGTAGCAATTTGAATTCTCACACTTTATTTTTCTGTATTCCCTGTCCATTGTGCATTAAAACTCATAAATGTTTGTGTACGCTTAGAAGTAGTTGCCCCTAAACCTTCTTCCAGTGTGTCTCGGAGCAAGGCTTTGTGTAAATTCAAAATGCTGGAAAAATTTCATAAGAGCAAGAAAGATTCGTATTTAAACAAAGAAGAAGGAAGCCTCACTTCTGATGGTTCTGACAGTCCTAAGGGTAACAAATTTATTGTGTTTTATGTGATATTAAAAAGTTAAAAGTGCTTAATTCTGTAAGTCCTGCTCAGCTTAAGAATTAAAAGTTAGATTTTACATGGACATTTATTGTCGTGTAGATTTGTGTGCTTGGTATTTATGTTCTTACATTTTCCTTTGCAAATGTAATAGAAACAAGTGCAAATTGTAATAGAAACTAAGTGCAGCTTAGGTTCTTATTTTAACTGACTCCAGGGAGCAGGAATTTAAAGAATACCACATATTTTAAATGTGACTAAATAGTGCAAGAATTGAGAGCACAAGTATATGGGTAGTGATATGAAACTGCTGCTCCACAATGTGATTTTCACAAGGGTTAACAAATACAAACAGCTCAAAATGGCTGTGAAAAAATAGACTTTGAAATCCAACCAAGTTGATATTTTTTCCAAGTTTGGTAGGTTTCTCAGAGTTCCAGTTGCATAGGGCTAGTAAAAGATGTGCTTCTCTTCAGTAACAACAGTAGAATGTATCCCTATGTAATATGGTACACGTGTCTGGGAGTTGGGAGTTGGCTGAGTTACAGAGTTCAGTGGCTGTAAAATAGTATTTCATTCTCAAATTATAGTGGAAAGAGCTTTTCCACCAAAAAATTCTGATCTGGTTTGAACTAGAAAAATACTTCCATGTATTAGCTTACAGAAAACCGTGAAAACTTAAAAGAGTTAAAAAACTCTGTTGGTTCACTGAGTTTAAGACAGCTAAAATAAAACTAAGGAAAATGCTTTTCTTTAAAATTTTGTTCCATTGAAAATTATTGTAATATGTAATTGAAGAATATTCCTGTCTCTCTTCATGTAAATCTTATCTGGTAGAGCTGCGACAACTTATCTTTGCCTCCGCTAACATTCTCTCATTGAAAAACAGGGTCTTGGAGATCTGGTGAGACTGCAGCCTAATATGAAGCTGTGTAAAGCAACTTGTGAGCTGCCTGAAAACAGACTCCCATTTGCTTGATAACTAGAATAAAGCACCATATGGGTAGATTGCGTAGGTTGCTCCTCAAGTATTGCCTCCTATTTGTCTCCATGAAAACTTCAAAGAGCGCAACAACAGAGTTAGGGTCGTATTGTAAGGTTGTGGTTGGACTTGATCTTTAAGGTCTTTTCCAACCTGAGTAATTCTATGATTCTATCATACTGTTTGATAGAGCAAATTCTCAGCTACAAAGCAGTATTTTTCAATAGCTATTGAACTAACTATTGCATAGTTAGCTATGCATTTTTACCAACAATGAACAAGCTGTCTGCACACTGTGCTCATTCAAGTTTGCACCCATGGAGGTGACCCGCTGTTGCCGCTGCTGAAACACATCCCCAACCACCTCACTGTGTTCACAGACACTGTTTGGTCTCCATAAACATTCAGCAAGTGTCAATGAATCTCAGCAGTTACCGTTTTATCCACACGGAGGAATTCAGTGACGTACCTTTGCTGCATCGGCACTTTCATCCTAGACATCATTTTATGAGTCTGTCCCTCTGCTGCCATCTATCAGGCAGCAACAAAATGTAGCAGAGATTAGTGGGAAGGTTCAGCCTCACTGCCTTACCACCAACATCCACCTCTGTCATCATGGGCCAACATCATAGAATAGGAGGTATAACTTTCAGTGGAGCCCTTGTACTTTAAATTACTGCATTTGGGTATCAGAGATGGACTGTCTGTGCTTTGATCCTTTGCACAACACCTTGAATTTTGCATTTTATCATCTTCAGTGTAGTAGCAAAATGTCTTTCATTTAGATAAATATGGCATTTCTTTGAATAACTTAGTTGTACAAGGGCAGAGTGATTAACTTAGAACTGAAGCACTTGATCAGTACATGGAAGACTTGTATAGTGATCTTGATCTGAAGTTATTGATATATGCATCCCCTTTTTAATTTTGCTGACTGGGGATTCGTGTTGGAAAAGACAGATATGTTTTCTGCTCCTTTCTGTGAGAGCTGTGAAGTCATCTCATAAAATACATGAGCAGTTTTTCTTCCTACATCCTAAGAGAATCTATTTAAGAATTTAAGCCTATAAATGTGTGTTTTAGGATCAAGCAGAAGAAACTTGATATGGTTTATTTAACTAGTAATTTACTGCAATATTTAGCATTTAGTTTTCTGTAAAGAACTAGATACGCCTAAACCTCCTGTGAAGAAAAGTTGAGGGAACTGGGCTTATTTAGCTTAGAGAAGGCTATGGGGAGACCTCCTTGTGGCCTTCCGGTACTAGAAGGGAACATATGAACAGGAGGGGGGGCAGCTGTTTACAAGAGTGGCTAGTGCTAGGACAAGGGGGAATGGTTGGAAACTGAGACAGGGGAGGTTTAGGTTAGATATTAGCAGGAAGTTTTTCACACGGAGGGTGGTGACACACTGGAGCGGGTTGCCCAAGGAGGTTGTGGATGCCCCATCCCTGGAGGCATTCAAGGCCAGGCTGGATGTGGCTCTGGGCAGTCTGGTCTGGTGGTTGGCGACCCTGCACACAGCAGGGGGGTTGAAACTAGATGATCATTGTGGTCCTTTTCAACCCAAGCCATTCTGTGATTCTATGAAATACATCAGCATTCTGTTTGAAAGCAGAATTTTCATGTAAGGTAATAACAGTGGTGCTGACCCCTCTTAGAACTGAAGTTACAGTAAGGAGAGCAACTGCATGTTGCAGTTGCAAAAGCATACAGAATGGAAGAACTGTGTATTGGTTCAGTGAACTCTAAAAAAGTGTTCTGGTTTTTTTTTTTTTTTTTGTCTAGAACATTTGCTTTGCAACAGACGTATCTACTAAAGCAATGGCTGCAATTTTTCAAAGTCTGACACTTTCACTGGGATAGTAGATCAAAGGAAATTAATAGACTTGTAACAGAGCAATAATAGCTTCTGGGTTTTCTTACCAAATAAGTTCTGGGTTCTCTTCTCGATGAGTACTGTTAATCAGTTTTTACAGTTGTTGTGTTTATGCCATGTATGCAATAGGTTGATAAACTAATTAAATAAGGTTTATGTATAATAGAAACTGAAGCTAGATGAATGTGATCTGTGAGTGTGCACCTTTGTAGCTGTAACAAGATTCCAAATAAAAAAAGTAAAAAAAAAGCAGTTCTGGAAGATGACTGAAGTGTCATACAAACAGCTTTTAAGATGGTAGTCAGAACCTTTGCAACTTTTCTTCTAGAAATCCTTGAAGCCAGCGAAAGCGCTGTCAAGAAGGCTTTGCAGCTTACAGGGGAGACTGATGAAAACATGCATCCAGAAGAGATGCAGCTTCGGAAGAGTCATGGAGTCGCTTTCTCATTAAGTAGAGACAGCCTGGAAACAAATGGTGAGAACTGAGAGTGCAACTGTTTCATGTTAGTTAGGTCTAAATCTAAGTTATTATTATGAACAATTTCCTCTATTTTATTGCAAGTTGGGATCCTTCATTTCTCTCTGCAGCATCTTATGAAGACTCCTTAAACTAATTTGTGATAATTTGATATTGGTAAGTTTTTATGAGTCTGTCTGTAGTTAACTGTTACTATTTTGTGTTTTCACATTTAGATTCCTTTGTGGCTTCTGTTCCTAATCAAAGTAATACAGGAGTTGGATTGGATACCTTGGAAGAACAAGAGGAAAAAGAGATCTTTTTTGCTAAACTTGAACAAGAAGCTTCCTCACCTATTGATTATTCAAGATTAAATAAAGAGCTGAATTCCAGCGATTCTGTAATGTTAGCACCATTTGTACAGTAATTTGGAGGGAAGAAAAAGTTGTAGACTGTGTTGTGGGCATGTGTGACTTAGGTGTCTGAGTACGATGACCACTGAGATTCTGTGGGACAAGATCCTGTGTGGGTTTCTTTGGGTGTAGGTAGTGGGTTTTGTTTTTAAATACAAGGATGGAAGCGATCTCAATAAATAAGAGAAAGAAGTAAGGCAAGGCTTGGAGGTGGATGAAGGTATACATCTTCAGTGCAGCTCAATAGTTACCAGTTGATTTAACCTTCGTAGTAGTAAAGAGTAACTGAATGATGACTTAAGAACTCCAGCAGTTGGAAGGTCAGAGTTCTGGAAAGGGGAAAGAAAGGAGAATGTTTTTTGTTTTGTATTTTGTTCATTGGTTGTTTTTTGATTTTTTTTTTTTTATTTTATTTTATTTTATTTTATTTTTTGGGTAATGCAGATTTACAATGTCAGAGCAAGAAGCAGATCTGACAAATTTTTATCTGAGAATCTGGTATAGATGTCAAAAGGAATGCAGAAAGGAAGTAATTCCTAAAGGGTTGGATTGGAATTTGAAATATGGAGTGTTGTAAAAATATAAATATTTATTTTTAACAACTGCTGACACTTACCTTTCTTACCTATAGTTTAATCTGATGGACAAATTCAAGTTTCTGATACTTCTTAGAACTAGCAATACCAGTAAAGTTTTATAAGTTAAATATGCATATATACTTGTTCTCCAAAAAGAGACTGTAAAACTTTTATTTTGTTTCTTAGAAATGAAAAAAGTGAAAAAGAAGTGGAATCCACACCTGAAGAGAAATGTGGTAATGGTTTCTAAACTGTTCACTCGAAAATCTTGCTTTTTTAAAAAAATTTATTATTATTTTTTTTTACTGTGTATGCTATTAATTATGAGAGTTTCATTAAACAATAGCAGCAATGCAATGTGTGGATTGGTACTGCAATTCGAACACAAAGTCTTCATAGCAGGACATCAGAGGAAAGCACACTCTTCATATTACATATATATCATATATATATATATTCCACTATACATATATATATATCTATCATATATGCATAGATATATATATATCATATATAGTGGAATATAATTCAAAGGTCTGGAAAGGGGAAATGATACTGCAGGTTTTTAGCTTGTTTTGTTCTTGGTGTTGCCTTGTCCTGCTAAGCAGAAAACAGCTTAGCACTTGGTAGGTTTCAGATTCACAGGATAGGCCAGCATCCTCTGTGAACCTTTTTTAGTGTGATATGTAAGCCAGCTAGCTTCTGTTTCCATATCTCCCTGCTGCTGTGGGTAAAGCTTACGTTGATATGAAAATTAATGTAATCTGAATTTATCTAGTTTTTGCATCAGCTTTACACAGTATGTCTGTGCAGCTGGTGTACAGATAGGTGAGTTTTGGGGTTTACTTCTGACTTTTTTAAACATATTTTTTTGATTTTTGAAAAGGATTTTAATATATTGTGAACAGTGCCAGAAAGAGAAATAGGAAAGAAGAATAAATCTGTCCATCAAAGATTTACAAAAACACCTGGCCCTGATTTTGAAATAGCTCTTAATGTTTGAGATACTCCAGTGTTTTAGCTGTCATCTTCCGTATTTTTGTTCACATCTGAGTTTGATCTCTTGTTTAGAGATTCCAGAATCCAGAGATTTCCTGAATATTAAGAGGGCTTATTTGTAAATCATAGGAAATCTTTTCTCCTTGAAAGCCTGATTTCTCTGTAGATTGCAGGGAGTCATGGTAGTTACAGCAGAAATGCTGTGGCGGCTTTGCATCGTTTCACCCCCAAGTAGGAGAATATGGTTTGTAGGGCACAAGGGGATGTAGGTGAAGTATGTCTGGTCATAAGACAAACTTCAATTTAATTTGGAGAGGTTACATGTGATTTTTTTTTTTTTTTTTTTTTTTTGTAGATTTTGGACCGTGCACAGTATCAAAACTTCTCAAAAAGAGTAATAGCAGCAGTAGATGTTCTTAGCCTAGAGATTGGGGAAGGGAAATAGCTTTTCCCATACTGCTTTATCTTCCCTGAATATTTCATCTGTTTGATGTTTATTTTACTCTTCAGGCAGCTACAGTGAAGATTTTGAAGAAGAAACAGCTGCTGATCCTGCCTTTAAAACTGAAGAAAGTCAGGTAAATCAAAATATGTCAGGAGTTGAAGTGTTCAAGAAAAGTGTAACATACCAAATGTTGATATTAATTCATGAATCATAAAACTTCTGCAGTATTAATATATTAAACTCATACTATGTGTACTTTCCTAAAGAATATTATGGTCATGGGTCTATATAGTTTTATTAAGGATATACTCTTCTGTGTGACGTGTCACTATAAGCATTTCCTCAAAGTTGCCTGCTTACTGCTCCTTTGAATGAAGAACTGTATTGAGAGTCCAGAAACAATGAGCTCTGGCTGGAGCTTCAGGATGACTATTGATGAATCTGTCTCTTGGAGCTGTTAGAGAGGTGTACACCAGCAGATGCCGCAGACCCCTCAGATCTGTATGGAGAAGCAATTTGGACAGAGAATACAAAATCTACACTGATAGAAGTGAGCCAGGAAGGTGCAAAAAATATTGTTTCATTTATGCAGAGTAGCATTTAGTTCCCAGTCACTTCTAAGAGGTCTTTTATAGTACAGAATGCTGAGAGAGGAGAGCTTTAGCAAAGTGCATATGCTTGAAGCACCCAAGAGCAGCTTTAGTTCATAGATTTTGGAGCAGCTTTTGAAGTTTGTCTGGATTTTTTTTTTTCCTGAAATTCAAAAAGTGCTATTGTTCTGTTTGTTTATTTTTCATAGGAACCAAACGCTGGCATGCTGGCTAAAGGTAAAATATAATCTTTAATCAGTGGAAGAATATTAAATGTACCTTTCTGATACTTTATCTGAACTTATTATTTTGATACTTAAAACCTAATATTATTGTGTTTTACTGGAAATCTGTTGGTCCAAAATGCTTAAAAATAAATCTATTAGCACTTCAAAGTGATAACCTATGTAGTTTTATTTTTCTACTTAGTACTTTTCATGCTGGTATTCAGAGTTATACCATTAATGGCATTATAGTTATTTATATGGCATTTTTTTGCCCACCTAGAGCATTAAGATAATGTTCTATAGTGTAGATAGACTATAAATAGGAAAATTGTTTTAACTCTTATCTTCTTGGTTTTTAGTTGTACTACTTGATTCACAAGATTCAACTACAGAACTTCAGAAAGCTGCTGAAACATCAGGTGTAGCTCTAAGTGAAAATGATCTGCCTCAAGAAGTTAGTGGAATTGAAATGAATGAAGCAGGTAAAGGCTGTTTTTGAAAAAACAAAACGAAAGAATTTCCTTAGTATCTTCCTTTGTTTTTAGGTTGTCAGTCATCATGAAGCCCTTGGCTTTTGTTAACTAATCTTGAGAGGAGGAGGAACCGTTTCAGTAAAAAAAATCTGCCTTCTTAGCAGAAACACATCTCTTGACCCTTGATTACTGGAAAATTGCTTTCTGCATTGCAGTCTGATTTAAATATAATCTCCTTCGGCTCACTATGGCTAAAATTTTATTTTGTCAGTGTTTAACATAACTGTAAAATAAACAGTATATTGAGGTTGTACCCAAAGAGATATGCAGAGCATGACATTGTGATAGCATCTATTAAAATAGTCGTTTCACATACCCTATCAATTTTAGAGGGGAAAAAAATACTGGGGGCTGGGGCAGGAAAGGCATGCAAGCTGCAGATAAAGCTATTTGGCATTAATAATCAATACCATCAAGTACTAATTAACTTGATAATTTTTTATTTTTATAGTAGAAAAGATTTTTTCTTTTCCTGAAATGGAAAGCACTGTTCTCACTTAACAGTCCAAGCCAGTTACTGAAACAGATTGTGGTGTGTTATTTCCCAATCAGAAAGTCCTATAGTATCTGTTATGAGACTGCATTTTCCACAGGCACTTTGCATGGAGAAACTTCCAGTGACACTGAAGCCTTACACCGTGCGTATCATCACGTTAATCAGTCTTTGGGAGACACTGATGAGCAAAAAATACATGATTCTTCCATGGCCGTTTCAAAATGCTTGCCACAAGTTACTTCACAAAATCATGATCTCTATTCAAAAAACACATCAACTACTGAGTCAGGTAAATACCTCAATGGAAAGCATATTTTTTGCAAGATGTGAAATAAGTGAGCTATTAATATCTTTAACACTTACATTTATGGAACATTTTTAAATGTCCTTTTTACAAATGCATTTTCTAAACTTTTAAAAAATGATTTTGTTATTTTGAACTAATTAGATTTGCCTACTGTGGAAGACTTTATGAGACCTATTAAAGGAGATCCCTATAATGCCAGATGTTTTGATTTGGAACCTGAAAGGTATTTATTTCAGAATTTTATTTACTTAAGCTCATTAACTGTTAGTGGAATAAACAGCTTACAGAACAACTTGCCTGTTTTTTTTCCCCAAGTTAAAGACTGAAATTTCATTATGATTTGCATTGGCATTATGGTGTTTTACAATGAACTGCAAAAGGAATATACAGTTAATTGGTTATGGAGATGTCCAAGCTTCATTTAGACGATAAGAAGCAATGTTTGCCAAGTCATTTCAGATGAGTCTTTCTCCGTCTTGGTAACTATTATAAATAAGATCTCAGCTTTTAAGGGCCTCTACTCATCAGCCTCTTTCCCTCTATGTGGGTTTCAGCCCACATCCTATCCTAATTCTCCAACTTCTACAGTCTGGCAAAAGGTCACATCATTTTATATTGCTTACTCTTGTAATTCCAACTAACCTGTGCTCCATAATTCCTTTTGCTTTGCACCAGCTTGTGTGTAGCAAATAACGTAGAGGTCTTGGAGCTGTCAGAAACAGGTTTTGCTTAGCAGATTGGTTCTGGGAACTTAACAAGCAAGTGTACTCTGCAGGATTTACCATTCATTGTTTTACTAGCACTGACTGCATGCTTGCAAGTGTTTGTCTTACAGCCCAATCTGGTGCCTCTGCAAAAACAGTTACTGCTGGGAAATGTCTCTTGTTGAACAAGACACAGTCTTCTCACAGTGTGAATCTTCAGCCTAGTCTTTTTTGTTTTTATAACTAAATCCGCATGGTTGTTCTTAAGAAGAGCCTAGTGATTCTTTCAAGTTTGAGCAGTCTTTACAGATGCTACCTAAGGGAAAATGGCCTGCTTTTTCCAGAGTGGCAGAAAGGCAAAGGGCAAAAATCTTATAAATAAATGACCCTATTCCTTTCTCTTGTAGTCCTGTGAAGGTGATAGGCAGCATGGTAAATGAACTTGTCAATCACTTACCCTATAAAGAGCACCAAAATAATTCGGTTTGGGAGACAAGCTTACTTGAAAAATTTAACAGAGAAGACAGCATCTTTCTACAGACAGCTGCAAATGAAGATAGCTTTCAGAGAATGACTGAGAAAGAAATTCAGACCAGTGAAGTACAACCTGATGTGCTAAGTGAAGAGGTAATACAAGACTGTCTGCTTTCACAAGGCAGCAAAGCTGAACAGGTAACAAAAAAAATCTGTTTGATATAATTTAATACATTCAAAATGTATAAAATTTTAGCTGGCCTGTTATTTGGTTATGCACTGATATTTAGGAAGTAAGAGTGTTGTTGTTTTTCTTGAAAATTTCATGTTGCTATTTTTAGAGGCATCCACATACAGTAGAATTTGGGGTCATCACAACATGAAGAATCTCGGCCTTAAAGCTGCACAGCTGCTGCAGTTACATCCCCAGCTCAAGCTAGTTCTGAATATGAGCATGTCTTCTTACTGGAGGGAACACACACAAGGCTCAGAGCTGAGACCATACCTGTAGAATGGGTAGTTAGAAATACAATTCAGTAAGAGCATAGATTAGACTGATCAAATGTAGGCTTTTAGTCAGACTAAAATGCTGGCCAGCAACGCTGGCTGGCTTCTCTATTGTTTTTTGTCTATTTTCTACACTTATTTCTACCTAGTCCATATTAGTTCTCACCTTTACCTAATTTGCAGTACAGGATTTCCACAATCTCCAAATTCTCTTCTCCCTGCATCTCCTAAATTAAGCCCACACTTCTGTAGGCAGTCACCCCTTCAGCCTGCAAGGCATTGAGGAGGGGCTGTGTTTGGTTCATCCTGGTGGATTTTCTACCAGTGACAACAGGCTAAACTTTCTCACTTGCTGGTCTTAGGAGCCATATACTTAATTTTTAAATGATGAAGTTTTGGAGGGTTCCTCTGCCTGCTGCTGTTCCTCTCTTCATTGCTGAGTTTCTGTTCACTGTGATTTAATTTTCAGTCAAATAACCTGAAAAATTACCTGTTTTGGCAAGCTAGAGATCCTGTAATAAAATGCAACTTCACAGAACAATCCAACAGAACCAGTGCAAAGTACTTGTGTATTTCTGAAGTAGGAAAGCATAATAAATTATTCATAATTTCAAGTTATTCATTTGGCTAAAAGTAGTTATTTCCCATGGTTGTTTTGTTTTTGTCCCCTCCTACTCAGTAGTCTTACTGCTGTATAATTCTGGAAACTGGTTCTACGCTTTTCTAACACTGAAATCTAACTTCAGATCACACTGGGCCCTAAAACCTGTTCTAAACAGATGTGCTCTATCATAGGTTCTGCAGTCTTGTTGCTCGAAGAACGAAAAATCAGAATCAACAACAACTAAACAAATGTACAAGAATATCAGAAGTACAACACCTTTACATAAAAAGAAGTCTTCATATAGTCCTCACGGGGTGGTTAGAAGTTCTGGATTTGGGAAATCCACTTCATACTCAAAACAGTCCATGCCAGCTACTGAAAGGAAAATACCAAAAGAAACTTTGAAAAAAAACATTATGAAATCTAGAAGTCCTGCAGATAGAGCAAGATCTAAAGGTAATTCTATCTTAAGAGGTCTGAATTTTACTTGTAAGGGCCAGAGAGCTTTGCTGTTCATACTTCACATTTAAATATATATATATTTCCATTTTGAAGTGGTGTAGAAAAATCTAAAACTAAATGTGATTGAGTAGTTCTCTATTTTTTCCTCTATTTTTCTCTATATAAACTATCACTATGTTTAAGACTTACCTATTGCTCACTGATGTGACGAAAACAACAGTAGATGCTGCTGTTCAAAAATATGTACCTATATATTACATGTGTCATTACAGTAAATGCAAAGATTTGCTGACGCGCTTATGCATGTGATGCTGGATTAATTATTATTCTCAGCTTCTTTCATTTATTTTTTTGTTTTTCATTAATACCAAACAAGCACTTTATTTTAAAAAGTCCTCTTTTCTGTTTGTGTCTCTTGTTGTAACTTTAAGGAACAGTAAAGTGAGGACAGTGAAAGTCAAATTGCAAGCTGACCATCTTTCACCAAGTCATATTTCCAGTCTGTGAGGCATGGGAAAATAACTTTCCAGATGCCCAGGGTTTAGGACACTTCTGTCTTGTTATGCTTTTCAAAACCTTTCAGGTAGTGTTAGAAAAACCACTGTAGGATTATGTTGCCCATCTCAGGGAGATGCTTTAATGGCAGCCATCAAACCAAGGGACCCTTGTTCCTTAAAGCATTGCAATGGAGCTGGAGATGAGGCAGGTGTAAAGGGAGATGGAGGCGATGGAAGAGAGACGAGTCCTGAGATGAGGCCACTAAGCCTCACTCAGACACGCTCTTCTCTCTGTATCCATACTATGATCCAAGGCAATTTTTGGTACATTCAGAAGTTACTCACAATAGGAGGCCACAGAGGCTAGGAAGAGAATGGCTTTGAAGCACAGAGTTCCCTAACTGTCAGTGCTAAGGAAGCACCTATATGAGGTGTAAGCATTGTAAAAGTTATTTCATCTTGAAAATGATCACTGCTTGTTTCTGTGAATGACATCCTGATGAAGGAGCTTTTAGATTAAACTGTTACAGGCAGAAATAAAATGATAATTCCAGCTAATGTCTATTTTTCAGAAGAAAAATCTTATTTCATGAAGGATTTATTATCCAGCTACTTATCTCAGTTGTTCTCTTGATTTTTGTTTCATTATGTTTGCATTTTTCGTGGTAGGTTTTTTTCAATAAAATAGGAGGATCAGCATGATAGAAAGGTGCTAAAAGGGAAGGGAAAAGCTGTATCAAAAGATTCAAGTTTCACGGGGAAAGCTCCGCTAGGGAGCAATCTCCTGAAAAAAGATCCTTCCCTAGTGGCAGTCAGCCCTTAAATGAGGTTTAAGAGAGGTGGAGCCAGGCTCCACAACTTTGGGTGGCACAGCTGAATTGCCTTCACCTGTGCTCCCAGGGCCGACCTGGTCCTTTCCCCAGGTCAGTGTTTCAGGCTATGACACATACACATGTGTAAAGAACTGATGATCACTTCATATTCTTTGTCTGATTACACTGAAGTTTCTATATTTAACCTGACATACAAGTCGTAAAACACTTAAATTGCATGCTTATTGGAGAATCATGTGAATAGACTTTTATTAAGGACGTTGAATTCTAAACTTAAATTCTAAACTTAATCTTGTTATATTTTACTTTCTGCCTAAATGAAGAAGCCTTATTTACTACAAGGACAATAAGATCTGCAACAAATGAACTTAAAGAGGATATTAACAGAGCTGTGTCTGACCAATCAGTTCATAATCTTGGACACCAAGTTGTGGATTCTTGCAGACATCATCATCATGTAAGTAGTAATTAGTGATGTTCCCAATTATAGTACATATGAGTTGGTTTACACACCTGTCAAGACTTTTAGTAATATTAACAGGATTGACCAGTGCTGAAATACTTAATAAAGGCTTATTCAGTCAAATACTTATTTTTGCTTTTAGAATCTGTAAGTTTGAGACTGGATTTTAATTGTTTGGATAGTTCTACTGCCTTGGTAGTTCTGTGTACTTTTAATGCTTATAGATTTCTAAAACAAAATTTTGCTGTACAAACGGACATACTTCTAAGTAAAATTCTTATTAAAAATTACTCTGTTAAGGACCTGAAATGGTACTTCTATTTGTTTTTCTACCTGGGTTGCACTGATGATTTAATAGAATATTTTCACTTCTCCAGGATGGCTGAATTTGCAGTGCCATGATGGATTTGCTTTCTTCCATATTAATTGTATAAAAATGTATCACTGAGTGCTTAAGTTGTTACTGCTTTTTGAGAAAATGGATGAGTAACTCCAGTGGCTGTACAATAGCCCTCATATCAGAAGTGTTTGTTTCTGGTTTCTTTTGTTTTCCTCACATATCTATGAAATTTTCACACATATCTAAGAAATTGGAAAGTATCTCATTAAAGGAAAAATATGTAGGATTTTTTGCTATTAGAATGATGGGATTTTTCTCTTCAGGTGCATTATATGGTTTCTAAGAGCCAGACAAGCCGGTGAAGTAAAACTGATGAATTTTCTGTAAATAGTCAACTTGGTGTAATGGTTCTCTGAATTTCTCTTTGCTAGGATTTACCAGTTTCTCCTGTCAAAAGTTGTGAGAGGGAACTACGTTTGCTAAGACGAGCACAAATTGCTGAGGAGGACCTGAATAGTGCACGTGATTTGATTCAACAGCTAACCAGCACAGTTTCAGAAAAGGAGAAAGAAATGGAGACAAAGATGGTAGAACTGAAAACACACTATGAAAAAGAGCTGTCTCAGCTGGGTCAAGAAAACTATGTTCTTCAGAGCAAGGTACTTTATCATTTTGTGTCCCATTAGTATAGAACGTGAGAAGGGTTGCCTCTGAAAATTAAATGCATCTTACTTCACGTGAGTTGCTAATAAGAAGAAAACCCACACATAGAAACTAATAGTGTATTTACATTTATTTTTACAAATATTTACCCCCTGCTACATTTACTATGATTAGGATGTAAAGTTTTTTACATTATCCTGAGTTCACTTATTCTTTAACATTATAAGAGTCCTTCAGCAGGTTTTCATGTGTTTATATGTTTGTATTTAAAAGTTTAATGTGCTCTTATAGCTGTTTTAAAAAACCGAAACAAAAGGAATAAGAGAGTAATGGATACCACTTGTTGAAAAGTGGGAAAGCACTTTATGTTGGGATACTGTTTGTTAAGTATGTGTCATATTGTCTATTTCTTTCTGAAAGTTGAGAAGTGTGGAAGAGCTGTCTAAGGAGAAGAGATGGATCCATCATACAGCAACAGTTCCTGTCTCTGAAGAAAAACTGTCACAAATACGAAAAGAAATGGAAGATCAGGAGGTCATTATTCAAGGTTATCAACAGGTATACCACACAGCATATTCTAGCTGTGTTCCAGCCTATCTCAGAAAAAAAGCTGTCAAGCAGTTACTTCTATTCTATTGAAAATAGCTGTCTTGTTATCTAGAACACAGATGAAATGTAGGTGTGATAGGTCCAGATATGTTGTGCAGTTTAAAAGCGTTTTGCACGTGTTTAGTTTGAGCTCAACTTTTTGCCCAAAATATAGTACAAAATGTGTGGTTTTAAGTATTATTGGAAGCCCAGAGGGTTCTATTTTAAGATGTGCATTTTTTTCATAGATTTGGAGCAGCTGATTGCAAGGAAATCTTGTTAGCATGCCTGATTTATAAACTTAGTCAAATGCAGAAATAGATGATGCAAACTTAATGATCCTTTTGAATACTTACAACTATAAATAAAAATAAAATATGTGAGTTTAACCATTTTCCAGGTGCTGTTCAGCATTTCTTAGTATGGTTTGCATGCAGTGGCTTGTTGGTGTGGCTGTAAACATCACAAAGCAGTGACCATCTGTGCTCCCAGATCAGACATGGGAAGATTGAGCTTTGATCTGTCAGCACTCATCCACTGTATGCTTTGAGAATACAGCTGGGATAACTTCATGAAGGAGCTGACCCAGGAGGAGTAATTATTCAGAGGAAGCAGGCACTTGGACAAAGTTTTAGAGGTCACAGTAAAATACTTTAGTGTAAAGATACCCATTTTGGAAATTTTGATAGTAAAACATTTGGTGTTTCAGAAGGCAGACTGCAATTCATAGATTGAACTGGGTAAAACAGTGGTTATGAAATTTTTTTGTCTATGGATGTTAACTTTGTCTATCTCATTTTAGGAAAATGAGAGATTATACAAACAGATGAAAGAGCTGCAAATCCAAAACAAAAAAAATGAGGAACAAATGTATAAGGAGAATCAGTGTTTAATGTCTGAGTTAATAACCCTAAGGTAGGCCTAATTAAACATCTGATGTAGATTTTTTTCAGCTACTGTTATTATTTTTGTTTATGAAGAGAATCAGTGAAGAGTCTGTTGGATGCATGTTTTGTGATTCTTGGTTTTGGTGGGTTTTTGGTGTTTTTTTGGTAGTAGTTTGACTTTGATTATGGACACTTGAATTCTTTGTCTTCCTGCTGATCTTGGAAAGCTATGAGAACGTGAGAGCCTTCCATATGAGAAATATTCCAGTGTTAGAATTCAAATACTTTTTCTCATATCAGAATGTTTCATGCATATACTACTCTTGCTCTGCTTTTGTCTCTGCTCAGATGTCAAAATGTTTGGTTGCTATTGAAACATTGATAATAGATGAGGAATCACAGGAGATCTTGATAATGTTGAAGCCATTAGATTCACTGCTCTATAGATCCTGTTAGATTTGTGTCCAGTGTTAATAATAAGTGGAAAAAAATTAGCAACTGTGTGCATTTCTGGTGTCTTTGCTAAGGAAACATGAATTCCATTGGTGCAGAGAAGGTTTTCTTTCCTTCTTTCATGTAGTTCCAACAAAAAAGTGTGTGCAAGGTGACCAGGTTCCAACTTACAGCTGTGTTTTTTTTTTGTTTTTTGTTTTTCTTTTCCTGTTTTTTATAGAGATGTGTGGTGTGGTTGCTTCTTGCTTTGGTTTGAACCTCCACAAATTAATTTTATAGTATCATCTTGAGCCTACTGTGCTTGTTTTTTAATATGCCATTGTCACCCCCTTGCATGACACAAGTCACCATATTGCATGACTTTTTCCTCTTTTTTTTATTTTTTATTTTAGAGAAAAGATAGAAAGGACTACTATCCAGTCACAGATTGTGCAGGAATCTGAACTAACCAGAAATCAAAGTTTCACAGAGTTGATTTCAGAGCTTCGAGCAGCACGGGTAGGTGTATGCCAAAACTGTATTTCAAATGTTCAGATTTAGAAACAAAAACAAAACCAAACCAAAACAAAAAAAAAAACAAGAAACCCACATCTAACCTCCATATTGTAGGAATAAATGAAAATAGTTGAACATGCTGCTCTTTTAAAGTGCTAATTAGTTACTGCATTGGGTTTTGGTTTATTTTTGTGGTGGTATTTTTTTTGTTGTTGTTTTGATTTGTTTTTTAACTGATTAAGTAGATGGTACAGGGAGCATCAGGACCAGTGGCGTTGCTCCTGGTCTGATACAGCTGACTTTGAGCTCTTAAGACTCCAGGAGCTGCCTTAGTTTTAACCTCATACGTGGTGCTGCTACACTTCCCTATCCTTAGGTCCAGCCTGGACAACTTTAACACCAGTGTCTTTACTCATAACACAGAAACACAAGCAGTGCAGATGGCTTTCTCCAATTCAGCAGGTCAGGAGAGGGTTTGCTGGCAGTAACACACATGCATGCACACATGTGAATCCCACTAGGAGTTAGCCCTGGGACTAACCTTGGATATAGACCCAAAAATGGCTGGGCCCAGAATCTGATGCACATACTCCCTTACCCTCAGTTGCTGCTCCCCATAACTGAGGGCCTCAGTCTCCAGAGAGTGGCTTTTCTGGACACTTTTTGACCTATTCGCCAGCTACTCAGTCTTGAAGTTTGCTAGTGATCACACATATTCAAACTGAACAGAGAGTGCACACAGAAAATATGAAGAAAGAAAATAAATGTAGTAAGATGAGCTGTTGTCAGTACATGTCAGCTATACATCCATCCATTTAAGCTGCAATCTATAGACTTCAAAATAAGTAAAGCCATCTACTTTATTGTGCCTCCAAAAAAGCACTGTAATATTATCTCCTTCTGCAACAGTTATTAAAAACAAAACTTCCTAAAGATATGCCTTTATTTTATAGTGTTTAACTTAACTTCTGCTGTAGCAAGGCTTGAGAATAATGCCAAAACTAGTATGTGTTCAATACAAACATAATTTAATCATTCAACGGTGAAAAAACATGATCAGCATTTTGTGTGTGTGTGTGTGTGTGTGTTTTCTCATATTATTGTTTCCTGTAAAACTCAGAAAGAAGAAACTAAATTACGAGAAGAGGTAAAACAACTTAAACAAGATAAACAAGCTCTTGAGTTAGACCTGGGGCAAGCAAAGAAAGAGAGAGATCTAGCAAAAGTCCAGATTACATCCACATCAAGTAAAACACCTTTATTTTCTTGAATACTTGTGCCTGTTCTTTACTTCACTAGAAAAATAGGTGACTAAAACTTGCTTCTTTATATAGTATGAGTTAGTGAAATGTATTTAATGTATCTATTTGGAGGTTGAATCTAGGTGATAGTCGTGGTCCCTTTCAACCCAGGCCATTCTGTGATCTAGGCCTTTTCCAAATATTGTTTAAAGGTCTAATAAAAACATACAGTGAAGGAGAGGCCACTGTATCTTTGGCACTCTACTTTTCTTGTATCCAGCCAAACTCTTTATTGCTTATTAAGCTTGATTGCTTGCCCATCTCTCAGAGGGCAAAACGATTCCCTTTCTATGCCATCTCTGTTCCTAAGGAAAGATTTACTGTGTTGCCTCTTACTCTGCCATTTAGATGTGCTCTTTAAACTTTGCTCTATTTTTACTCCTAATTTATACCTTGTGAATTTTTCTATTTGTAAACTTTTTCCAGATTGCCATCAGGAGGCCCAGAAATTGGACCTTTTTCACTTCCCATATCAAGCATCACACTTGTTACAAGCTGTAAGAGCTCTTCTCAGAATGCTTGATGGCTAAGTGGGAGGAGTACAGTTAATGCATATCAAAGTATATATTCTGTATTCTGTCATCCATGTTAGCTGAAAATTTACTACAACTGCATTCAAGAATAGATCTCACAGGGATTCTGTTTTAAATGCTTTCTGTGGTAAACTGTAAACTATTGACTATTACTGTATATGAGAGAATTATTATTCTCTGATTTTGTTTTCTTTAGTAGTGTTGCATTTAGAATCCTGATTTTGCTCTTGTATGAAATGTGCTGAAAATAGTATTCACTATCCAACACATTCAAATATATTGAATTATGTATTACGTTTTCAACACATAATTGTAAGAGTTTTATTCTTGTAGGTGAGAAGTCTTATGAATTTAAAGTTATGGAAGAATCATACAAGCAGGAAATTCTTCATCTAAAAAGGCGGCTTCATTGGTATGCAGAAAATCAAGATCTTCTAGATAAAGATGCAGCCCGTCTTAAAGATGCAAGAGAAGAAATTGAAAAACTGAAACAAGAGGTGATAATATTTAGCATAACTTAAGGTGCTGGCACCTAATGATTTCTACTGATGAGTACAATGTAATTTTGTTCTCCATAGTACTCGTGCCTTTTTTAAGAAAAACCATAACCTTTAAACCAAATGTGGGTGTCTTTATATTCAAAACAGATATAACTGTATATGCAGTCAGAATTGCAAATGTAAAATGCTTAAACCTCTTCTGCTTGCGTTGGACTTACTGATTGTTCTTCTGGAAACAAAAATAATGTACTTCAAAATTTAGTTTTGTAGAAATAGTAGAATCACAGAATCATAGAATGGCCTGGGTTGAAAAGGACCTCAAAGATCATCTAGTTTCAACCCCCCTACTATGTGCAGGGCTGCCAACCACCAGACCAGAGCCACATCCAGCCTGGAGAGCCACATTGGGCCTGGGGCCGGGTATTACCAGTTACTAAGTTGTTAAATACTTCTGTTACTGTGTTCATTTGAAATATTTACCTCTGTACTACTGCAAAACATCACTGAATGTGTATAATTCATTTTTTCTTATAAATTGGATAGGTCGAGAAGCTCAGAGCTGAAGCTGGAGATCGTCAGTGTGTGCAACAGAAGAAGCGTTTGAGAGACAGAGCGGCAGATGCTAGAAGAATTCAGGACCTTGAACGACAAGTATGTAATAATATAACTGATTTAATTAACTTCATTTCAGATAAGGTCACTTACTCTTTAGTGCTTTTATAAGGATAAAGCTCTGATTGAAGCCCTACAAGAGAGGAAACTTTGTATTATGTAATACTCAACAGAAACAGCTATAGTTGCTCATTTACGAAGGGATCTCTTGCTGCTGTGTTCTAATAAGCTATTATACCCTTACAAGATCTTTTAATGTTAAAGTACTGTTCAGTTTCTAGGGAAGGAGCAAAAGGGCAAAAGCACGTGCAAGCTTTCTGTTTATCTTCTGGGATTCCCATTGTCTCTGTTCAGTACATTCTTAACATTCTGACCAGTATCAGCCATGTTGTTGCAAAAGTAGGAGTTGAAATTCCTACAAGAGCCATAATAACTGGCAGAGCAGAGATCTTAAAACCCATGTTTCTACTGAGGAAAATGTCAGGAGGAACTGTGCCTTCCTGAATTTTTATAGATAACAGCTATGCTTGGGAAGAGGCTGGGATGCAGAACAAATAGAAAAGAGTCTCTGCAGCATTCTAATGGATAGAGTGCAGAAAGCAGTTTTAGCTGTAGATTAAAAAGGGGCATTTATCAGTCTAGCACACAAGGTGTTAGTTTGTTTTGGAGTCTGCAATGAAATAATGATGGGGGAAAGAAAAAAAAGACATTTAATCTGTTGCTGGGAGAATAATTTCCGGTAATTTCTCTGAAGCAGCTGGAAAAGTAGAGTGGAATGTGGAAGTGTGAATGTTAAGTCTATAAGAAAACCAAATATTTTAACAGCATTGAAAGCCTTACGCAGCTTAAATGCTTAGAAAGTAAATAAAAGATGTTTGAGTCTAAAGACCAGAGCAGTATTCTTGTGATGATGTATAAGGAGTCAGTCAGCAAGTGATGATGAGTCTTAATCGCCTGTAAGCAATAACATAAACTGTAAAAAATCATTGTAACAAAAATTCTCAGATAATTGCATCTTGACATGTTATTCTTCACCAAACTTAATGGATTGCATTTGTTAATGCTCTGTCACTTGTTTCAGTTCACTTTTTGTTAGAACTTTCTTCTTTTTGACTTCTGCCAATTTTCTTTTTAATAGATCAAAGAAATGGAAGGCATTCTAAGAAGGCGCTATCCAAATTCGTTGCCTGCTTTGATTTATGCTGCTGCTACTGCTGAGAAAACTGATGAACTTTCAGCTAAAACAAACACAATTGATTTTTTGGAAAGAAGAATAAAAAAATTAGAAACAGAACTTGAGGGTAAAGATGATGAAGCTAAAACAAGTCTCCGTGCCATGGAACAGCAGTTTCAAAAGATTAAGGTAAAAGCTGGAGGCTTGTTGTAGTCTGCACTGCGATTAATGGTTGTAAGGTGGCTGGTCTCTACCAAAGACCAGTGGTGAAAACAGAAATCAAAGACTATGCTGAAGGAAAAAGCATTTGAAGAATTTATAACCAGAATTTCAGTGGTTTTGGAGCATAGGGTATAAAGAGCATTTAAAATTGTGCAACCAAGTATTAGAACTGGGAGGAGAAGTTCCTGGACCTAGCTGTACTTGCTGTACACACAGTAGTGTGGTTTCCTGCCAGCTAAACATTTTACCCATACAACAATATGATAGCAACTCTTTAAGAATTGCTTTAGGAAGCTCCAAAATCTGGCATTTCTCTTCATGGCAAGGTGAAGTGCATGTGTTCTTAATGAGCAGGAAAGTACAGCACTGATGATCAGTTGTTCCTCCTCTTCTTCATGTGAATCATAGGATAATAAAGGCTGGAAAAGACAGTGCACTGAGATCGCCTAGTCCAACCATTGACCCATCACCACCATGCCCACTAAACCATGTCCTTATGTGCCACATCTATGTGTTTTTAGAATTCTTCCAAGGATAGTGATTCCACCACCTCCATGGACAGTCTGTTCCAATGCCTCATCACTCTGAGGATAAATTTTTCCTAATATCCAATATCCAACCTGAGTAACATGCTGTGTTTTCCTTAGAGGCAATCGAGGCTAAGAATTAGATTTTTCTCAGCTTATTTCAGAGGAAAATTCCATATCTCTGAATTGATACTTACGTAATTTAAATAAATACATGAAAGTAGAATTCTGTCCTGTTAGAATTGAAGATAATTTTAAAAACGTGAAGTGCAGTTTTGAGAAATAAGACAATGTTTGTAAACATGGCAAATGTAATGGCAGTTTAACAGAAATGAAGGTTTGCTGTACGAAAATAAAATGCTAATTTGCCTGTCTGAGTCAGTATCATCTGAACAAAATTATCTAAAAATGAAATAGTTTCTTGTCAATTTAATTTTCTTTTCCATAGCAACTGTATTTGTTTTGGGTAGAGGATAAATTCATAGTAAATGTTTTGAGTAATTCTGTTCTGCAGCAGACTTAGGTTTGCTTTGCATATATATGTGTGGGGTTTTTTTTTTAACTCATTAAACTTCAGTAATTTCTGTACTGGATGAGTAGTGTTATTAGTAATACTTATTTGTATCCTTATAAAGTCTTGCTTCAAACTTGGAGCAAACATAAAAAACAATAAAAGAGGCTGTAATGTGTTAAGGAAACTGCTTTTTTTTTTCTCACCCCCTCCCCTTTCCCCATCCCTTCTCCAGATGCAGTATGAGCAAAGACTTGTAGAGCTTGAGCAACTACTTGCTTACAAGTGGAAGAGTGGATCACCAAAACTGAACAGTGATAAAGCCAATTCTGTTGAACTTGAACTGCAGCTTCAGAATCTGAAGAAGACCCATCAGATTACTGTTGAAAACCTCCAGACAGAAATTGAAAACCTCAAGAGTCAAAATTCCCAACTAAAACTCAGAAGTAAGAAGGACAATAAAGACTTACAGTCAACAGATTGGCAAACGAAACAAGGTAACACAAAAGAGAAACTGCTGAAACTAAACCAAGAGCTGATCACAAAAAATAGAGAAATACAAGACCTTACAAAAACTGTAGAGAAACTTCAAAAAGAAAGGATGGCAATGTTGTCCGATAATAATTTAAGAAATAAAACTGATAATAAGGAAAACTGCCAAGAGATCTTGAAAAAGAATATCGCAGCAACAGAGAACAGGAATTCCATCAACAGCGAACCCTCTATAGGCATTTTTAACAATGACAAAATATACCAGCCACACACCTTTTCTGATTCTAATGTCTTGGAAGTTCTGCAAGAAAACGCACGGTTGAAGGAGGAGCTAGAAAAATTGTCTCTAGAAATGAACCAGCAGAGGGTGAAGTCTCAGGCAACACTGGCTTATTCTGAAAATAATTTAAGAAGGTAAATGCTCAACGTGTTCATTTAAAAAACTTGCTAGTTTAGCTGATGGCTGATGAGTCATTACGATCATGCATGTGTGAAGCTACCTTAGACCTGAGCAATCCTCTCTGTAAATGTCATTTTTTCTCTTTTGATTTTTCAGAATGGTGTACAGTCACAGTTTTTCATACAGGGAAACCCGTATTAATCCTTTTTATCGGTGCTACAAATTGTCATGGCTCTCAGTAATAAGATTTTGGTATAAATCATTGAATCCTAAATGCTTTGTTTAGTATTCATATTTGGTGCACGTACTGTCCTTCAAACTGGGACATGCTTTCAGTGGAAGTTACTTGACCAACAGTAGAAACTTTACCCTTCACATAGTTTCCATTGGCTCCCTTTCATATTCGTGGTGGAGGTGATAGGCACATTTAGATTACGATCCATTTTATTCTAAAGTAAATACCTCAAATAGCACAGCTTAACCACGATTTAAAAGCATCTACTTTCTCTCCCTTGATTTTCATAAGAGGACCCTATAAAGATGACTGGTTGAGTTTTCAACATTTTCGCTGCCTCTAGTAAAATGAAACACATATCCAACAATGTAGGCTTCCCTCCCTGTGATCCCTCCAGGGCAGCAAAAGTAATGGTGGTGGTATCTCTTGCAAATGTTTATGAAATTTCTAATGCATGCTTACCCTAACATTTCTTCATATTTTATATGTTCAAGTGAGAAAATTCACCTCATTTTTTGAAGAAATATCTGTAGTTGTTCTATGCATCTAATTTTGTTCTCCAGGATACAGGAAGACACATCAGAATATGTTGCAGCTCTGAAAGCTTCCCATCAAAGAGAAGTAGAGAAGATTCTTTCTCAGTACACAAAAGAGCATTCTGCTTCCAAAGTAGCTGAACTAAATGGCAGAATTTCAACACAAGAGGTAAGACATTGTAGATATATTAATTACACGAAGATATCTGTTAAAATTGTTTCTTTCACTGTAACTTCTATTTTCTTTTCAAGTAGGATGTATTGTTTCAAAAATAGACTTGTATCACAGTACTCACAGAATCTCCCACTGTGGCTGATATTCCACCATCACTGCTGCCATTGTTGTTGTTTACATTCACATCCCCAATGAGTCCCTTCTTGTTTGTGAGTTTGAGACCCAGTAGAAAATCTCTTCTAATCAGTTCCTCTCTTGCCTGGATGAGGAAGTCATCGTCAGTGCTCTCCAGGCAGATTCTGGATGATCCAGATGCTGCCTGGCAAATACTGGGGTGACTGAAGCTGTCCATGAGGATCTGAGCCTGCAGTTACCTTGTGGCAATAAAATCTGGGAGAAAGTGCACACGTGAATGAAGATAGGAAGTGCTAACAGATTCAGATTATCTTCAAATGCCTGTTTGTGTTTTCAACTGAGGAGAGTAAATTGAAGAGTGAGACTTGTTTACATGTGTTATAAAAGAACAGATGTGTTGTTTAACAACTGAGGTCACCTGAAAGTATTGTTAATATATGTATCACCTGTAACTGCAGTACTGATTATATTTCTGGCATGTTTTTCCTGTGTAGGTTTTCATATGTTGTCACAAGAATATGCCAATGACAAATATTTTAAATCTTCTTACAGATTTTAATAAAACATCTGCAAGAACAAATCAGCGAACACCAGAGACATCAGGAAGCCCTCCTAGTTTCACAAATGCGAGAGGAGTTCCTGCAAAAAGAGGTATGTTTAAATTTGGATTTAGAATACCTGATACTGATGATCATTTTTGTTCTGACTTTCATTCTTGTAATGAAAATGCCTCAAATTGTATATAGTTAAATAAACCTTAGTAGCAGTATCTTTATCAGTATATCCTGCATCAAATTAGCATCTGAAAATGCATGTTTCTAATATAAACAAGAAAACAACACAGAGTACAGAAGGTGGAACTTCAATCTCTCCCTTTTAAAATTAGTTAGAAATACCAATATCTTCATAAAAATTGATGACTAAGGAGAAGTATGGCCATAGGTGGATGGTTTGACTGGATGATCTTGGAGGTCTTTTCCAGCCTTGGTGATTCTATGATTCTAAGTTAGGCCAAGCATTTGTAACCTCTTCTTTGGAAGTTGTGGTGGGTAGCAAATAGAACACAGGACTTTCTCTTCTTCAAGAGGATATTTTATTGCTGAATTCAAAATGTTTGGCCAGATAAAGGCTTCTTATTTTCATCCTTTATTCCCACAAATTGACTTAGCCTGTTATCTACTGGATCTCTGTATGTTGATACGTGAGAAATTTGAGGTCTTTCATGAGAAGTTTAGTTGTAACCGTTCTTCTGGAATTGACTTTCTATGTTTTTTGAGAGGTATTCAGTTTTTTCCTAATCTTCTGCTACTTCTATTACTATCGTATAATGTATAAAAATCACACTTGTTTGTGGTTTCATTTGGAGATTAACAAATTTCAGATGGTAAAATTCCAGTTTGTGTTCAGCTCAACTTTTTTTTTTGTCTTATTGGCTACGTTTGTCTGGTTCTGGAGGTACTGAAAAAATGACTTCTCTCACCTCTTCTTCAGGAGGATGATACAGACACCTTGAGCACCGTGCCCAAGGTTAATTTCCCTCTCTTTTCCTTTGTTTAATGGATGAACACTGCTAATTTTCACTTCATTTTGACAATGCAGCAGTCAACCTGCAATAGTTGCAGAAAAGGAAAATTCTTTTCAATACAGGACTGAGAAAACTTCACGTGTTCCATCTAATTTAGAAGAAAGGAAAGAAATTCCAGTATGTTTTTAGTACATTCTTGATATCATTAATCTTTATCTCAAAGAACTCATTCAGTATTGATCTTAGTCATGCAAAATTCCACTTCTTTTGTGAAGCCTTTATAGAAAAGTGAGGGTTTGTGAAGATCTTTCATCAAACAAACTCTGTATTTGCAAAATAGAGCCAGACTTTGTGATTATATTATGAATGTTATGATAGATGTTTTCTTTTGCTACAGATCTTGTTTCATGCCAGTGATTTTAGTGTGCATATATAATGCTTCATCCCAGCAGGATGCAGTGGGAATACAATGAGGCAAATGTTATTCCATAGATTTGTTCTCTGCATGTTTAGAATTATTGATGGTACTGATCAAGAGAGGGTGATCATCATAGCTGAGCTGTGTTTTTCATGTTGAGTTTCAGGTGCTGACATTTAAGAAAATATAATAGAGTGCCTTTGCTATGAAAATCAGTGCATGATTATGCAGAAAGTAATGTCAAAGCAAAGTCTTGCTTTCGCCTTCTCACGACTGCTTTATTTATGCTGCTTTGAAAATGCATTTTAAGCATTAAATGGTTCAGTAAATTATGCTGGCAAATGAAAGCAACTAAAACTTCAAATGTAAGAAGTCATGATAGAAATGCCAGCAATTCTGCCTAATACACTTGAGATTCCTTTCTCTATGAGAGGAGAAACCCTCCCACTTCTGTTCTGAGTTTGCCACAAGACTGTTGCATGAATACTAATTGCAAAAATGCTGCTCAGGGATGTTTTCTATAACTGCATACTTCTGCTAACAGCCTGCACATAGGAGAATTCTGTGTTTAACAAATGTCTCCCTTGCTGGCAAAATGCATGGAGCCCATTTATTCTTGTGGGGCATTTTTCCCTCATCACATATCTCCCCCATGAATTCTGTGTTTAATGATGTGCTGGAAGTCACCCATCAGCTCTTTCCTTCACTAAAACAACTGAGAAGACAAGCAGCAGTGACTCATTTTCAGAGATCCCATGAAAATATTAAGACTTGTACTCCTCTGACAAATATGGGTGAAAATGGCCTGCAGGATCGAAGCTACTGGAAAAATGGACAGGCAAAAAAGGAGTAACACAGGCCTTGTTACTGCAGAAAATCAAGCTGAAAAGTGGAAATAATAGTAAGCCGTCGTGGAGTCGCTTCTGGGTAACAACAGCAGCATCTTCTCACAGTGCCTCCAGCTGCTTGGATTTGGCAGCAGAGAGCCAAGGACAGCATAATGCTTGATAGAGCTCAGATATTGGATAAAAGGAGCTGAGGTTTATGGTTAAAAAAAAAAACAAAGACAGCAAGGATTTCACTTCAGATTACTTGCATATAGTAAGAGTGTGACCAAAAAAAAACCCACAAAAAACATCTTAGGATATTGAATGAAGAAATACCAAGGTCCTTAAAATAGGAAAAGAATGAGAATAAGCCAATAGAGCTTTATAAGAAAACTTACTTGGATTTCTGGAGGCTTAGGAAATCAATTATAGGCCATTGCTGAGTTGATTTCACCCACCAGTTATTAGCCCAAAAGGTTGGCAGCACTGCGTGTTAGCAGTGTGTCTTTTCTTAATATATTCTGTAGAAATGAGCTTCACTGATGCATTTTGTATTTGATCTTCATCCAGAAAGTGTGAGAAGAGAGAGTGTAAGAGCATTGAATCATCACATTTTCTATGAATTTTTGAGTACGTTTAGAGTACAAAAATTGGCTGAATAAGCAGTTCTTGATGTATTATGCACAGGATAGGATTTATCAAAGAGGACCAGACTTTCCTATCTTCAGGCCTTTTTGTACAAATGAAAGATCCTAATCTAAGTCCTTGAGCCTTTTCTAAGCTTTTGAATAAAGGAGATTTCTCTTTGAAGTCTTCCCTTGTGCAGCTTTTGAATAAAGTGATTGAACAACACAAATGCACTTTGAAAGGCATCTGTCTTATACACTATTTAACACTGTGATAACAATTTTCATCAATTATCTCATAGGTTGCGAAATTGTTGGAAGAATTGAGAGAGGCCAAGGAAAGCCAGAGCCCTGAAATGAAACATTTCTTGTGCCTGGAAAAGAAGATCAAGCATATTGAGACCCGGCATGCAGTAAGAGAACAAGAACTTCTAAAGGTACCTCATGCCACATCTGCCTTTACTTCTCAAGTGCAATTTGTCACTTGAACTGTAGCTTTGTAAGATGAGCATGGATTCATTTACCCCACACTGGAGAGGAGTAAATACTTTTTGATACAGCTATGGTTTTCTCTTGGTCACTTCCTGGTTCCAGTTAACACCTGTGTAACTTCCTCACAACGTGATCTAAGAAGGCCCTGATTTAGCAGACAGTGGGTGTATGTGATTTCTAGAAGTCTCATTTTTCTATCTATCTGTGACTTCGTATTTCAGTTACGCCATGGATGCTTGCTATGGAAAATGTGATGGGTTTGTAATTTTACTTCTTGTTCTTAGAAGTTCCCTTCAGGAAAGTTGCATTAAAGGTAGAGAAACATCTTCCTGCAGTCTATCACATTTAATACCCAAAACAACAATAACCTTTGTCCTTTACAAACTGCACTTGATAGTTCTCTATTGGTTGTTAGACAGTTGGATCTTTTGACACAGCTTTTAGTATCTAATATTTGTATCACTTCAATGCGTAAAAGTTTTGCATTTTTTTAAGTTATGTGTTTTGTTTTTAAAACTTACTTTATTACATAGCCTCCATCTGTTTTCTGTGTGGGGAGCTTCTGTCCTGGTAGATTTTCTCAATGCTTTCATCACTTTGGTGTTTAATAGTTGTTCATCAGTGTTTTAGCTTTGGCTTTACCTAAATCCATGAAGTCAAGGAAGGGCAGCTGGACTGAAATTGAATTGTAGAATGCTTAGAAACTTGAGACCTTTAAAGGCCATCTAGTCCAATTCTCCTGCAGTGAACAGGGACACGTACAGCTAGATCAGGTTGCTCAGAGCCCTGTCCAGCCTGACCTTGAGTGTCTCCAGTGACAGGGCATCTACTGCCTCTCTGGGCAACCTGTTCCAGTGCCTCAGCACCCTCTCTGTAAGGGACTTTTTCCTTATACCCAGCCTAAATCTGCCCTCTTTAAGTTTGAAACCATTTCTCCTTGTGCTGTCACCATAGATCCTGCTAAAGCGTCTGTCCCTTTCTTTCCTGTAGCTCCCCTTTAGATATTGAAAGGCTGCTATCAGGTCACCTCGCAGCTTTCTCTTCTCCAGAGAGCAGCCCCAGCTCTCTCAGCCTGCTCTTGTAAGAGAGGCGTTCATCCCTTGGACTATGATCAAACCTGCTGCAGTTCTTAGTTTGTGAAGCTTGTTCTGCAGCCTTGTTGTGCATTCAGCTTTTGGTTTTGCACCCTTACTCATCTGCAGGAGGGCACTGAACAGTCCCCAAACTGAACAATAACAAACTGAGCAACATAAAGACTGCTGAACTAGGAAACTACCAGTGGCTTTTAAGTGATTGAGCTTCCCTTAAAAAGCTGTGACAGTTCCTAGTGGCTGGCAGATTCTGATTTCCTGTGACACTTTGTTTTGGACAATCTCGTAGGATTTTGCCATGGATTCATGTGAACCTGGTATCTGCAGCAGCCACAGGCCTTCATATGGGATATTTTCTGATAATTCCTACAAGTGGTGGCTTCTAAAAGCACATCAGTAGCAGGGAACATATAATTCAGCTTTTGTTTTTCTGTTGCAGCATTCTTTTAATTAGTACATTTAAATGACAATTCAGAAAGTCATTGTGATTTCAAAAGGCTTTATACTATGTGCTCAGCTTTGTCATATGTACTTAAACTTTTAATTGCTGCATTGGAGAGGACAAAAGTCAAATTCTCCTGAGGATCATTAGTCAATAATGGCTTCTCCTCTTCTGTCATCAGTGGAGATATTTGAAGGCATTTATTGCTACCACGACAATTTTTGTAATATTCAGAACAAATTGTTCCCATTTAGCATCAGCACTGGGCTTTGAGACTGAGCATCAAATATAATTAAGTGGATTATTTTTGCAGAGGGGCAGACCTGACTATGTGCCCAATCCCCACGCTGACTTGCTTGTCATTCGCAGGCAGCGCAGCTAACACAGCACATCACTGAGGGAAGGCAAAGCCGTGAAGCTGAGAGGTGGCGTAAGCTGGCACAGCGGAAGAATGAAGAGCTGGAGAGATTTCGAGTGGAATTGGATTCCATATTGGATGTTTTACGGGAACTGCAGAAACAGGGGGTTGTTATTCCAGCGCCTAATTGCAGTGGACTCGTTAACAGATAACTGTTGGAAGACGTGATTCGATATGAGTGGTTTCACAGGAGCAGGAGTTGAATGTTTCAGTTTATGGACAGGAAACGTTCTTGAAAACCATCAATGAAGTCCTTATAAATTGAATTACATTCTGATCTGAAATCTTACTTGTCCAAAAGTAGAGCATTAAGCTACACCCCAGCTAAATGTCTTATTTTGTTAGCGATATAATTCACACTTTCTTACATTTTAGGAACATTGAGGTTATTCTGTAAACTCAGTTACCATTCCAGGTGATGCAGTTGCCAGAAAAATTCCAAGTGGTGTTTTTCAGATCCTGTAGAACACGCCTGAACATTTTTAACTGCCATTTATGGTTTGTGTTACATCAGGTCCTGATTGAACAGCTTCAGTAATACGTTTGGTTGTATTTTTAGTGTATGCTGTTATCAATACTGTTCATGCAGGAGGGATGAGATCCTCTTTGTTCTGTTTGTTGGTGGGTAAGATTTTGAAGAATAAAATCAGTAAATTCTGACTTTGACGTCTCAGCACTGCAAGTCCTCAAAAATTACGTAGCACATGTACAGAGATTTTAGCTCAACCAATTATACTTATTTAGAGCACAGACAAACTAAAGGGCAGGATGCACTCCTGAGCTCCTATCCCATAATTCTGTGCTTTCTACACTGTATTTTATATCACTGGTTTTATTTTATGAAGCTAAGATTAAGTCAGAAGTGAAATTGTTCAGAGTTGTTTGTATTTATGTCTCACTTTGTTAGGGACCAGCAGTAAACCATGCATTTTGACTTGGAGATACATGTGCATGAGTGTGCAGAAAGCACAAATAATACCACTTACATCAGAGAGGCACAGGCAGTAATTAACAGTGCAAGATCTTTTTGACTGCACACATTCAAATTATGTATGTCTATATGCATGTGTGTATATATGTGTGTGTGTATATATATATATAAAAGGTGGTAAAGTATTAATATACTAATTCTGGATGTTTCTGGACATTTGCTAAAGATGCTGAAAATAATTATAGATGTTTTTTCCTCAGATGATGAAGTATTTGCCCAGGCTTGTCCATTGCTGAGGAACGACCAAACAACAGTGCACTATTAACTTAATCTGGGCTGAAAGCAGGGCATGGGGCGCACTGCTGTGCCTGGTCAAGTTATGGCAAATACTTTTATGCAGCTTGATACATTGGCTAAACACAGCCCTGTGAACAGTGAAAAATACACAGCCATGCTTACTATTCTGCTAAAGGGGTTTGAGAATAGTTCCAAGACTGCCAAAAAATTATCATTCTTTTGGTATCTTTGTGACTCCATTTCAATCAGCGTGAATGCACGACCTGCAGGTTTTCAAATGGAATGTATAAAGTTGCAAGCAGATATTCAACTCAAAACTCTGATCATATCTCTCTAGTAGACTTTTATAAGTCTTCTCTGCCCAGATAGAAATACCCCTCACTTCACAATCTGCCTTATTCGTGTCATTGCTGTTTGGCAGTTTGCATGTTTGTGAAGAACTGTTTCCAAGGATGAAGCATGGAAGGAGTAAAATTCCATCAAAAATCTCTGCAGAATGCCCTCAGAGCTCACTAAGAATTGAAACCACTCCCCATCAAACCAGGTATTGCATTAGTTTTACAAAAACAAAGTCAGATATCCCACTATTTTTATGGTTCTGTTGCTCTCTTGTTTTATGTTTTAATAAAAAAAAAAAAAAAAAAAAAATTAAACTGTTGTATTACTTACATATTCACTGTATTATATATTTTATGAGGGCTGCTCTGACTGTAATGCCTTCTGGTTTATTTTGTCTCCCATGAGGTTGTTGGTAGTGGTATGACAGTAGAGGTTGAACATTCTGGTACATGTTGTGGTTGTGTGACAGATGGCAAAGAGGAGCAGTCTGACAAGATGGCATCTGATATGGAAGTGCACATGGATGAAGCAAAGGTGTGTCACTGAATTCCTCCATGCAGAAAAAATGGCACTCGTTGACATTCGCCAGCACTTCCTGAGCATTGATGGGAGGCCAAATAGTAATGTGAGCACAGTGAGGTGGTGGGTGGTGACAGTGGGTCACTTCTGCTGGTGCTCTTGCTCATTGTTGGCAAAAATGCAGAACTAATGGTGGTGGCTGTGTTGAAAAAGAGCATTTTGTAGCTGAGAATTTGCTATTTCAACTGGTGTTACTGTGCACTTTGTATCTGTTGTGTTTTCTGTGGTAATAAATATTCAGGGTGGTCCTCTTCACTTAATGCAGTCCAAAAGACTGGACACTAATGTATTAGTCTACATTCATAAAACATGTACATAGTGTTGCATTTACATGAAATACCAGCTGTGTGTAAATACTCTGCATTTAAGGACAGAAGGACAGGTCACAGAGGGGGAGCCTCTGCCATTGGAAACACATCCTTCCACACTGCTTCCAAAAATGTCTGCAAAGTGTTACATGCAACCTTGCATACTGTTAGCTATATCCCTGTTGTGCAAAAGGCAGCAACCATCCACCTACTGCCAGTATTTCCTCACTAAACTCTGTCCCTTAGTGTGGAATATCCATTCAGCCAGTTGAGGTCAGCTGTCCTGATTTGGTCCCTTTCCCAGTTCCTTGTCCTCTCCTCCCTCACCCCCAGTTCGTTTGCGGGTACGACAGTACAAGATGCTGAAAAAACTGAAACAGCCTTGGCTCTGTACAGCACTAAGAGGCAACAACTAGAAACAGCAGCATGTTGTCACCATTGTTTTTCTGCTAAAACCAAAGCACAGCATCATACCAGACACTATGAAGAAAAACAGCTCTGTCCTAGGAGAATGTAACATCATTAAATTGTGACAAATCCTTCTTTCTGCATGATGACCCTCCTCAAAACTATTTCCTTTGCCTGATGCTGATTTTCTGGGAAAAGATGCTGATATTTTTTTTTAAACATACACAAGGTTGATTATTATACCAGTATCCTTCCCTATCAGATAAAATCTTGTCTATTAATTATTAAAAAAGGAAAACGAAACTAAGAATGATTTCAAAATTATTGGTTTAGATGACTGGAGAAGGTTTCTGTGTTTGCTCTTAATTGTTGCCCTGATGTAGAGGAAAAAGGCTGAATTGAGCTGTACTCACAAGAGCAAGTGCAAAGCTCAGGCTGTTCTGCTGCTTTTGAGTGTGAGGGCATTGCAAAGACAGAAGGGTGGCAAGATGAAAAAGTAGAGTAACAGAAGCAGGAACTGAATGTTTAATTACCCCTATATGGTTAACTCCTGTTAGAGAAGGACACCAGGAGTACAGTTTAGATATGTAGTAAGCTCAATTGGTGTTAGCCCTTGATCATTTGGTTAAATACCTTTCATCCAGGCATTGTGTCACATGGATAGTTTTCTCTCCAGAAGTAGCAATTCTGCACCTAAGATTTGAAGTTTTAAGGTGGGAGAAGAGGAGCTTCAGTTAGCCTACAGCAAAGAGCAAGTTTTGTTTTCGCTAGAGCGAAGCCTGTATGACTGATAAGTAGCTTTAAATGCTTTCAAAGTAAGCTTCATTTCTCAATAGCCAAAGAGATGGATAATCCCTTTTGCACCGGTTTTTCCCTACTTAAGCAGCATTTCTGTTTTCAAGCATGATAAAGGCAAACAGTATATCAAATGTCATTGAAAGCAGCTCAGTCATCCAGAAAAAGGCAATAAAAGGTGCATTTAGCAAGAACTCTATCACGTTTGAGCTTCGGTTCAGACAAAAGCTTTACCATTGGGCAACAGAGACACTTGAGCACCCTGAGGAGGAAGCAGGGCTGCATTCGGAAGGCGGTGGTTTGCCCTCAGGTGATGAAGTGAAGATGAATTTTACTGCTGAACCGCCTAGAGTTTCTCTGCAGAGGAGATGATAGAGTGCCCTAGTGTTAAGTTGATTTTGACAAAGTTGAATTTTCCTCCATGTACACAGACTACAATGAAAAGTTTTAGCTTCAGTCGAAACTTCGCTTCAAAATATTTGGGATCCAAAGAACCACACTCTTGGCAGACTTTCTAACTTCATTGGAGAACACTTACTTAAGAAGAGCTGTGTGGGGGAGATGGATAGCACAATTTGTGCCACGACGCCTTCTGAACACATGAAGTATCAGGGCTGTCTGTGCAGTGCCTAAGCAGTAGCTTGTTGCAGAAGCTAAAAAACATTGAGGAAAAGATAAGGAAAGGGACAAGAATTATACTGGGGAAAAAAAAATGGGAAGCTCACAGGCATAGCCTTTCTGCTCCTGGTTAAGTACTTACTGTAAATGGAAGCCTCTTCTGTACTGCAAGAGGCCACCCAGTTCCAACCCCTGCTATCAGCAGGACAGCCCCAAAGCAGTTCAGCTGCCCATGGCCCCATCCAACCTCACCTTGGGCACCTCCAGGGATGGGGCACCCACAGCTCTCTGGGCAGCTGTGCCAGCGCCTCACTGTCCTCTGAGTGAAAAACCTCCTGACAGCTAATCTAAAAGAATTTAATTCCTTTGAATGTCGCTAAGCAACCTGTCAGAAGGCCACTGCAACATTTTCACTGGCACAAAATGTGTCACATAAAAGGCAGATTACTTTCAGAAAAACCTAGTGAGACAAATGATCTTGACTCCTAGTTTGATGTGAACTGGGAGTTTCCTGCGAAGCACTGTTACTTCACATTCAGCAAACCTCTTCTGTGCTCAGTGTGCTTGCTCTAAAACCATTTGGCTGTTAGTTAACCAACTCTGCAAGCAAGCTGCCCAAAAATTTATGAATGGCTAAAGTTTAGAACCTTATTCCTTCTCTAAAAAAGGAACTTAAGGATTGAAATTATACCTATTTGTTTTATTTACAAACCCTTGCCTGGTAAAACAGCTGTGGTTGCAGTACCACTCAGCTGGCTAGAGAAGGATGGAACAAGTACAGTGAGGCTTTAAAGCTGGCCTCAAACTACCTCAGAGCCTCCCTGCAGTCCTTTGCTGGCTGGCCAGTCAAAAAAGGGAATTTCCCAGAGCTGAAAAGCAGATGAAGGCTCAGCTGATAAGCAAAGCACAACTTACATGGAAATAAGTGGTGGTGGTGGCACATTAACTCTATTGGCAACGGATGAATATTTTTCATCCTATTTCCTGTGATTTAACAATTGAATTCTGCACTTAATCAAACTGCAATCTCACATCAACAATAAAAATCACATTGATGCGTATAGATCAGTGGTTTCAGAGTGTCAATGAGCAACTGACAGAATGTTTCACTGAAGTACTATAACTCACACTGAAGTACCATAACTGCAGACTGCAATTTGCTTTATCTAGCCAGCAGCAGATGGTGTCATCAGTTTGTAAACTCTCTTACTGATCTATTGAAGATACAAGGTATTCCCTCTAGAAGCTTGCACACTGAGTCTTGCCTGTACTTAAAAGCAGGTAGGACTTAGCAGCAGGAGCTGATACCATGCAGGTGTCCATTCTGCTGCTCCATTTCAGATGTCTTTCTGGGATTGGCAGAAGCTGCTCCCCAAGGCTGCCTGCTTAGCAGTTGCTTCAGCTTCAGTTTGGGGTTACAGTTTTCTTGGTCGTCCCCAAAAACAGCCTTCAGCTTTCACAGTCCCCACAGATTATGGTATCATCAGAAGCTGGAGGTAGGCAGTCATTTAAAACCAAAACCAAATCCAAAACAAGACCAAAAAACGAAAACAAAAAAAACCACAACACAACAAGAAGAAAACCTAACACTGGACAAGAGGCTTAGACCACAGGAGGCACTGGAATTAAGCATTTGGTGTTTTAATTATCACGTGGACTGCTCTGTAAGCACAGCCATTCTTACATACAATTAAAAAAAAAAAAAAGCACATGCTTTAAATACCTTCTACCAAAATAGCCAGAAGGTGGAGAAGGGCTTCCGACTGGAATTTTTACCTTAAGAAATTTTCAGTCAAGGATCCGATGAGAAGCCTGCATGGCCATTTTGCTTTCTAAAACTCTAGGTGGCTCTGAGATGAGCAGATCATCCTCACCTAGTGAAGAATTCTGCTCAGTGTTCACGAAGTTAGGAATGTTAAATTTCGTAAGACAATTCAGGTCCTCCTCTAATGTTCCACCGCTCCTGGAAACTTCCTGGAAGTGGATATTACTCTCCAGATCTGGACCTTTCTGACTTTGTTGCGCTTTGTCGAGATGTTCCACTTCATTAATGCAGAAATGGAAAAGTGACCGGGACTCGTCAGCTATTTGACGAGAAAAGACTCTCTCCGACTCCAAAGGTCTTCCAAAATCTGCCACGAAGCTGTTCATCCGAAATCTTTTTTCAGAAGATTCTGTATTTCTAGGGAAAATAAAAGTACAGTGAGACACTGAATTTAGAATTATTGGCATTCTTAGCAGCATGTCTGGTTTCAGCAGTTATTATAACTAGGAAGAAAGAAAACCCTTCAGCTCATCTCTGAGAGTTACAAGCCAGCAGTGTTTATTATTTTCCACCGAAGCTACTTTAAGCCTTGATTTTGAGTGGTAATTTTCCATGGGAATAAGTTACAAATGCCAGCAGTCTTTAATGGCACTTCTAGTCATCAGTGTAATTCAATAATCTGCTCACACCACTGAATGAGCTCAGAACTACCGTACAGAATTTCCTCATAGAGCAAGCAGTAGAAGTTTAAAATAAACCTTTCATAGAAGGCTGTGAGAATAATCTTTCATAGCTGGAACCTTTCAGAGACATAGGCAACACTGCTGTCATTAAAGACATAATTTGGGTGGTCGATTGTCTAGATATCAAACCACCTTTCACATTGATCTCAGCCACTGACACTCAGATTTCCAAATTAGAAGAGTGCTGTAAGGACTGGGTGGCTTAAAATTTCAGAAACATAGCACGGGAAAGACATCTTGACATCTCTCTTTTCTGGAAGTGTTAGTTCTGCAGAACAGCTGCAGTCTACATAGATTTGTGAGAGGCCGTCAACAGCTGGGGGTGAGGAAAGCTCGAGGTAGATGATGAAGCTTTACAGATAGCAATACATTCTCTGTCAGCCTGGCTTTATATGCTGTCATCACCAAAAGCAAGTTATTTGCATCTGAAAGGCAGTAAAGGCTTTCAGAGATGAGTAGTGAAAAATGGAAACATTCTCAGGATAGAATTATTCTGCTAAGTAAGCATTGCTAAATTATATCACTAAGATGTGGACAAGTAGCAGATGCCACTGAAGCCAGATATTTGGACTCCTGAAGGTGCATGCAACACTTACAGACACAGGCTGAACACTCTATAGAGTCTGCTGGAAAAGTTAGCTTACAGGCTTCTGAAAGCCTCATCTGGCACGTACATAAATCTATCCCTAAAGCCTTCATGTACAGAGGATGCTCACCATCAGTCTTTCACTCAGAGTTAATCACAGAGATCCCTTCCATCCAAGTGCTAATTTACTTTCATTACATGAGGTGAGAATTAGAGCCTAACAAAAGCAGTTACATTAGACTTCAAATCAAAACAGCACTCCAGCTGGTGGAAACAGTGTTGGTTCATTCTGCATTTCAAAGTGAAGCGTGTAGAAGAAGCATAATTGTTAAACTGATGTGAGACTGGTGTAGACAAAAATCTGCTGTAAACCCAGCAGGAATCAAACTGGACAGAACAATGCTGCAGTAACCTTTGGGACAGATAACTGCAGTTACGTATTTATAAAGCACCACTCTGAATGTGAGTTGCTTCTACAGATCTGTGACAGAGTAAAGCTGGCAAGCACAGTAAGAAGAAACATTATAAGCTCACAGAGAAATGATTTAGGAAGAAAGCAAGTTCATAGTAAGGAAAATTCCTTTATAACCCTAAAAGCTGTGAAGGAGTAAAGGCTCACTGCACAGAAGGGCACCCAGGATTGGCAACGGCAGTCTGATCTCAGTGGATAAATAGAAGATGCAGATCAATTTTAAAATGACCAACATGTTGAGAATTCATTATGGAGAATAATCCTATGTGATCCTATCAGGAACACATTGTCTAGTATATAGTCATCTCTTGAGATTCTGAAATTCACATACACTGTTCCTCCTGTACTGCGAGGGACATTTTTTTTTTTACTAGACTAGAAACATTTATAGTCCTTCCCATTACAGTACTCAAACATACGTCAGTGTGTTCTATTTAGAAGATTCATAAAACAAGAAAAGCAGTCTCAAATCCCAGGTTTATATTTGGAGGACCACAGCAGGGAGAACAACCATTTGGACACCAAATCCCTACTGAATATTTGGGCCAAAAGGACTCTTGAGTCCCAGAAGTTATCAGCAAGAGCAGGATGGTGAACGCCAGCCATCTTCAGTGTCAAAGGTATTGAAAACCACTCAAAATGGTTGGTTCATTGGCAGTGAATAACACAGGGAACTAAGCTCCCTTTCTGGAATTTTCCAGCCTGCAGTGCCAGGCTCTGGTTGCTAGACACAGTATTAAGCAGATATGCAGAAAAAATGCTTTTTATTTTTTGCACAAGCTGTACTGTGCACCTACTAATTCAAGTGAACAGAAGAAGAGTGCTAAAGGCATCGTTCCTGTAACTGATTACATTTCTGCCTCTCCTCATCCATGCCCTGAACCTTTCTCCTGGGCTGAGGATGTTTCCAAACTTGAACATCTTGTATAATTTTAAGAAGTGTATGCTATCATACCCTTTTATATTGAGCCAAGAAAAGAGTACTACTAGAAAAGTCGGAGTACTCTATTTTGGATCCATCCATCTGAATCTCGTTACATTTATCTCTCACGTTAATGTTACTTTAAAGAACAGCCAGATTGACTTACTGAAGTCAGAGACATGTCTATCAATCAGGATGGCTTCCTCCTGAGACCATTAATATCTATTTCTTAAGGACAGCTGCAAGGCAGCCCACAAATGAAGCAGTGAGTCATAAAGAATCCAGTCAGTCCTAGAGACAGAAAGATGCAGGCAAAACAAACCCACAGTCTACTCTGTTTTCACCTTTTAGCAGGTATTTATGTTGTCCAGTCTTTATATATGTGTAGCAAAAAAAAAAGGCATCAATACCTCAATACTCTTAGCTTATTTCTGGATGCTCTATTTGCAGTACCATACATAGTAGGCTATAAATACCAAATCTAAAAAATAGTGCTCAAATTTGTTACAAGTGCCAATTTAGCGTATGTAGTAAGTGGGAAAATATTTGAGCATATAGCTTCTCAAGGCTGCAAAGGAATTTTAAAACACATATAGAAAGAAATTGAGTGGGGTTTGTTCAACAGCTGAAGAAAAGCATGAAGATTTAGACTGGAAGGGAACTCTGGAGGTCTTGAGTCCAATGCCTTGATGAAAGTAAGGCATGCCCAGGCTGCTTGAGGCTTTCTCTAGATGCAGAAGCTGAGTGGAGATGGAGGTTTCACAAACTCTCTAGACAATCTGTTCCCACAATACTGTGGAATTAACAAGTGCAGAAGATATCAAGCAGCCCTCTGTTACTTCAGAGTCCACTTTTAAAAGCAAACAATCATTTTGATAAATATCTATGTAAAATTATCGTGTATTTGACTTCATCACTTCCACTCCCATTAGTATCATGCATATGAGATATAAACTTGGATGTTTAATGAAGAAAAAAGATCTGCAGGGAAAAGAGCTAGAATTTACGTAAATTAAATATATTTGGTAGCATGGTGTGGCTTTATTTTTTTTTACTTGAAATAAAGCATGAAGAAAGCTAAAATACCAGCTACAAAATTCAGGAAGTCAGTTCTGGAAAGCTGAATTCTTATGCCTCTGCTTCTTTCTCACAGAAGCAGCAATGCACAGAAGCTCACAATTCTTGCAGGTCTTCTGTAACACGGTCCTGCCTCTAGAGATCTGCTATCACAAGCTTTCAGGCAGAGCCTACATTATGACTAAATAACACTGGGTAGAGAGAGGCAATTGCCTCTCACAATCAGCTTCTCATGATTACTACCTGACTGTAAGACCCTCTCACCCTCCAGTGAGCCTTTTTATTTCTACCTGATGAAAAGCAAACCCGAGAGGAAGAAATGTGAGTTCAGATGGGATACTGGCAGCTGTATGCTGCACAACTGCTTTAAGTATGAGACTTGCAGATAAATGCCTGAGCCAGGATATGGTCTGCATATACTTAGCAGCCAGAAGGAAGTGGAAAAAGGCTTAGATTGTGACTAAGAGGACTCTGGTGTTAAGAAGTATGGAGCTGGATCTGGTCTTCAGCATCTACTGCAATTTTTCAGCAGAAACCAAGACTCTTGGAAGCTTGTGACTACAGGGTAAGGGAACGTCTTGCTAATTCAATTGATAACTACATTTTGGACTTCAGCATATAAAACCTTCCAGTCTTCAACTGGTTAGTGTCTGCATGGCATTTTATTTGTATTCTCTCTGCCAATAGCCACGTTTCTCTGCTCCACTCATCATAAGGTGAGCTTAGTTTGAATTACCCCTGTTAGGTGGGGAGCAGTCATCCAAAGCCACATGTGGTTGGCAGCCTACCTACTGACTTCCTTTCAGCCTTGATGTGCATCCATATGGTAATTCCAGCTTCTTTACTGCATGCTACATACTACTTGCTAAATAGAGAATGCATTAACATGTACTTCTATAAAATTGCTCTCCTACAGACGCTTGGAACAAAAAACATTTTAAACAAAGACACACAGCAGCCTTTCCTAAGAATGGAGCAGAAAAGGGCAGTGCAGATCCAGCGCAACCTCAGCACTGGCACTGGTTGCTCATGGTCTGCTGAACACCAGAGGTGCCACATTCACTTTCCAGACTCACTCTTGATGTGGTGCTCCTGTCTTCGTCAGCAAGGTCAAAACAAAGAACATGAAGATGACAAAAACTGCAAGACCAACCCAAAATCCAATCACAATGGAATCTGTCAAAAAAGAGAAAACAATACGATCAGTATTTCACCTACACTTGCAGAAACTCTGCAGTCTGACTGCTAATTCCAAAAGATTTTTGCATCTTATTCCTGACTGGAAAAAAGGAGAAGGATGCCAAAGCCCTCCTTTGTAACCTGGATTTTACTTCTTTCTAGACAAACCAGAAACAAACTGAAAGAGTGAAGGGGCTGGGTTCTCCTGGCTGTTAAACTAAGAGCAGCTCCTTTTTTTATCCTTGGCCCATGTTCAAGCATTGCTTTGGAAACAATGCCAGTGCTAGCACAAAGATTAGAGGATTATTTGATTTTCAGCAAAAACCTCTGTCCCTGTAGCACTGAGTTACTGTTATTCTGAATGATTTCTCTTCTGAGACCACAAGGCTTCTAGTTTCTGATGGATCACTTAGGCCTAGGAAGATTTTGCTTCCTTTCAGTGGTGAAATAGAGGCTTCTAAAGTAAATGGAAACACAGATTTGCTGTTTGCTACCTTAACAAACATCAACAATGAACATCTAATTTTTGAGTTTCTGACTTTCATACAGAAAACTGTAACACAATGTCAAAGGAGTCAAACTAATTTGAACAAAAAGTGAAAAGAATCAATTAAAATGCAATAGCCTCATGCAAATGCAATTGCAGTCTGACTGTTATCCAGAAATGAAGCCTCTTAGAAGTAACCTTGTACATCTCTTCCTGCTTCATGGCAAGATAAAACACAGTTCATCCATTCTAGAGAAATAGCTGTCTAGCCCATTAAAAAACCTTCATGAGGAAGGTTCCAGACCAGCAATCCAGCAATCCAGCCCAAATGCTGTTATTACTGTTTTCCTATGTCCCATTAGGCCTCCCCTGCTCTAATAAAAGCCCATTGCATCTTATCCCACACTCAGTTCAAATAGTCTGCTATAGCTTCTGCCTGGGCTTCCCTAAAACGTGTGGCACTTGTCCATACGCAGAAAACATACTTACTGTTCTCATTTACAGCAAATGGATCTGTACATAAATCACCAGCACTATGTAAAACATATCTAAGTCTGCTTATGACTTCCCAGTAGACCTAACGCTGCTTCTGAACACATCTCAAAACGTTTAGTAACTTGATTAAGAGATGGTACAAGTGGGACAAACCAACAACAATCAGCTGGTAGGCATAGCCAAAATCTACAGAGCATGAAGCCAAAATGTGGTCTGGTCCAGGACCCACAGCCTGCAGGTGCTTTTTCACCTATCCTTCAGTTGGTTATTCTTAGTTTATGCAAATATGCAAACTGTCACTGTAAAGTTCAAACCATTAATGTAGGGGCATGCCAGAGAAAAGTCTTAGGACAATCTCTCTTTACACAGCTACTATTGAACGTCACAGATCTGCTTGCCCCACTGCAGCAGACAGAGCACACACTAACCAAAATATTGAATGCTCAGTCTCGCCCTTAGGACTAAATGAAGACTCCAGAAAACAGGAATTGGGTAACCTGCCTGCTGCTTGGCCCCAGTGGTTAATCATGCACCCGCTGTGAAACATCTTCCATGTTAAAGGAAGATCTGGAAACTGGAAATCAATTCAAACCATTTGATCTTTCTATGTGAAGTAGAAGTGTACCTGCTGTGACTCAACATTGTCTCCCTGTGAAAATACTTTATCACAATCAAGTCACACCTTAATCTCATTTTCTGATACACTAAGCAGGTTTAGCTTCAAGTCTCTCTCTGCAAGGCTTTTTCAATCTGTACTTTTCCACATCCTTTCCACTCAACATCTTTATAAAGAAACTGAAGGGCGATTCAGCTGTAGATCTTCACGATGAATGGAAAGTAGAGTGTGGTATAAATCACCCCATGCTGACACTTACCACATTTTTTAAAAAGGAATACTCCTTTTAGCTTCAAGCATAATGGTAAGAGATTATTTCTGCAAACCTGTGCATTATGAACCCTGAATTAGTTTCAGAATCATTTTGCAAGTTTAGTCTGTACTCAGTGTTTGCAGATGCATTTTTTTAACAAAAAGTATTAAAAAAGAAATGTTTTCTGTGTATTGGGTTGTTTTGTGAACACTTATCTCCACTGATCATTTTACCTCAGTTTTCTCTGCTTTCTAAAAACAAGCTTCTGAACTCCTTTTTATACAGAATCAAAGAATCACAGAATGGCCTGGATTGAGAAGGACCACAATGATCATCTGGTTTCAAACCCCCTGCTATATGCAGGGTCACCAACCACCAGACCAGGCTGCCCAGAGCCACATCCAGCCTGGCCTTGAATGCCTCCAGAGATGGGGCATCCACAATTTCCTTGGGCAACCTGTTCCAGTGCTTCACCACCCTCTGTGTGAAAAACTTCCTCCTAATATCCAACCTAAACTTCTCCTGCCTCGGTTTAAAACCATTCCCCCTTGTCCTATCACTATCCACTATCGCAAACAGTCTTATGTTTTACAGCCAGCTATGTGTCACCGCCAGCCTGAATCACCTAAACTGGAGTCCATACCCCTTTCAACTTTCCAGCATAAGTTACAGACATACATTAACATCCCTTCTCCAGTTTGGGTGGCATCTTTTCTTGTAGACTCCTTTCTAGGACAAAGATTTGAAAGAAATTTGGTAGAACTTGAATTCATACATCCACCAACATTCAAAGACCATTCTGCCATAAAGGCCCTTCCTGATCTCAGGGCAGAAGAATAAGAAGGGCTCTCAGCCATTTCTGATTTTCAGGCCAGACGAGTTGGTGTTTTCTGCATGAATGGCACCACAGATATTTTCTGTCTACGCTACAAACCTCCACACCACCTGCTCAGGTCTTTTATTCCCTTGCCTCCTTTACAACTCACTGTACAACACACAGATGAACCAACTGCACCCTTTTAACTTCACGCTGTAAGCCAGATCACCAAAGCAGAGCCTCTCTTGTTGCTTTCATGTCAGTTTTTTATCACTGATTCTGATTCTATCATTACAGCAGAACTTAGAATAGCACAGGTGATGAAGATGGAATATTCCCTAGTGGGAATATGTCTACAAAACCTCAACATTGCTATTTGTGGTGCCTGCCTCTAGAGAATTTAAGATTTTGTCAGCAAACACTGAAAATCACCTTGCACACAGCTATTCCAAATATTATGAGATTTAAGATTTCTTATACGGTTTGGAAAAAAAAAAAAAAAAACACCAAAAAAAAAAACCACTGTCAGTATTCGAAGTCTTCCATGACAATGCAATCTTAACGTAATCTCTTCTCCTCCCTCCTCCACAAGTTTCAATTTCTATTAAATTAAATGTCTGATCACGTTGCCTCCAAATTCAACAGGCCAAACTCAGCTGGAGTTATCCAGAACAAGAAACTTATTGATACGACATCATCAACACAGGCATAGGATGTATTTACTCGCACATTTTTATGAAACTAATATCAACCTGGTTGAGAATGCATGCAGTAACATAAATCCAACCTATCAGTAAAAAGTCACTGATTCAATACTTCTGTCAGCCTCTTTTTCATAAATGTATCACACTCTACCAGAAAAAAAAATGTTCCTTCTGTCCCAATAATAAGCGTGGTCCAGAACCCTCCTGCTCTACAAACAGCAGATAGGCACTAAAGATGAGCTACCATGCCCAGCATGGCAAACAGCTCAACGGCAATCCAAGATTTGGTTTGCCACTGGGCCTTCAGCAAGACAGAAGTAACTCCCATTTGTGTTTTTTCATCCTATACCACCCTGACACACAGAGCTAAAAACATGTTGTACATCCTCGAGCTCAAAGAGGGTAGGTTCAAGCTCAGAGAATGTACATTTAGGTTAGATAGAAGGGAAAAGTCTTTTACAGTGAGGGTGGTGAGGCACTGGAACAGGTTGCCTAGTGATATGATGGATGCCCACACTGTCACTGGAGTGACATTACCAGTGACATTGTTACTGGAGACTTTCAAGGCAAGGCTGGATCAGGCCATGGGCAGCCTAATCTAGCTGTGGTGTCCCTGTTCATTGCAGGGGAGTTGGACTAGATGGCCTTCAGAGGTCCCTTCCAACTCTAAGAATTCAATGATTCTACACACATCAGCTAATCTGTAATAGAGTTTGGCCTCTGATTTGGTGGAGGAAGATAAGGAAGATAAGGAGGATAAAGGCAGATAAAATTAGAAACATGAGAAAAACTAATCTACATTTTTCAAGTATCTAACATTTGTAAAAATGCAGAGAGTAAGCATCAGATTTTTGTAAATTGTAAAAACCAAAATTGTAAAGGTAAACTACAATTTGGGCCAAAAAGCAACTTTTGCTCCAGTTCTTGTCTTCTAGGCATGTTAAAAACTTCAGCAAGTTCTTCCTGACTCTCCCAGTACCATGCAAAACTCTCCCAGCTGTGCAGAAGCAAGGCAGACAGGCCTTCCTGGGCTACCAGCTGCCACTGCAAGCACTCCTTTCCCCAGTCTGAATCCTCATCGTGGTAAGCAAGACATGAAGTGTGCACCCCACCACAGACCAGTGCTCCAGTACTGGATGGGGACCCTTCCTCACTACTTCAAAGACTGGTGCTCAAACTCTTGCCCAGGGTACTCAGCTCAGAAGCAGTGGAATAAGATGGTTTGCTTATCTTTGGTAAAGTGCATGCAATGCATTCCATAGTTTTGAGTTAGTTTCTGGGCTTTTTAGTTGTTGTTTTTTGTTTTGTTTTGGTTTGTTTTTTTTGTTGGTTTTTGCTTTGTTTTTTAATTAAAAACCTCCTTCCCTCCATCTCAAAAAACAAATTTTCTAGAAGTCAAAGCTATTGAAACTAACCACTGTTATGCACTAGCTTGTCCCAGTTAAATGATCTCCCAATTTCTACACATATGTTTCATTTCTCTGGTCTCTGTCCTCCACTTTTTACTTGTACAGTTATTAAGCAGCTTCAGCATTTGGATGACACTGAATTTAGCAGAAAAATTTCTTCCATAAAGAAATTCCTAATAAGTTTCTTCAGAAAAAAGATTTTTCTTTTTTTAAGTCTCTGAAAGTTTGAAACTTATTTTTTAGGAAATAAAATCGAAAGCAGTAAGGCTGCCCATTAATGCCTTTTTTGCATTAATGGGAACAGGAACAGAATAACATGGATCATAGCAAGCAGTAACAAGATGTAACACTTCAGTTCCTAGAAGTGTGATAGTCCCCAGTAATAATGAATTTCTAATACAGTCAAGAAACTCACAGTGTTCCTATACATAAGGAAAGCAGTCAAAACAAACAAACAAACAAACAAACAAAACTACAATAATCTAATAAACTATTTGTTGAAAAAATTTGGAGAGATTTCAGCACAATAATCACTTATAAGTGAAGAGCAGGAATTTTAAGATGGGGAAGCACAGCTGAAATAGAGCACATATGTACTGAACTTACATTTATGAGCCTTCAGGCCTTCAAATGACACTGGTCCATACTCATAGTACTCATACTCCCAGGTGTAATCAGAGTTAGACAAGGCCTGCTGGGAGGTTCTGTTAGAAATCAACCTCAGGGCAGACATCTCGCACCTAAATAAATATATCCTATGGATATGAAATGCATTAGTAAAGAAACATATGTTTCTAACACAGCTTTGATTTTAGAATCATATCTTTGATTTTCAATGCCTGTATAAGTGTACAAAGTATCAAAAACAGGCTTCTCAGAATATAATTTTTATAGTTGAAAAAGTACTGAATCCCAAAGACTACCATCCTTGGCAGCTTTCAATGAATGCTGCCATGGGAATCTGTGTGGAGAAGTGACCAGAGTGCCAAGCTCAAAGTGTTACATCATTCGTACAAAGTCCAGCTGGCACCCTGGAATAACACTCAGTTACATTTTCCTTAAAGAGCCAGACAGTGAGTCAGAACGCATTGGCAGCAAGCTCATGGATTACCTGAGGGACAGACAAAAGGCTGAAGGGCAGATTGATCTTCAGAGGGACCCAGACAAGCTGGAGAATTCAGCTGACAGGAACCTGAATTAACACAAGTGCAGTCAGCGCGTCAAGAGAAGAATTTCTTATTCTCTATTCAGCACTGGTGAGACTGCACCTGAGGGACCATATCGTAAGTAACTGGAAGACATGGACATATGCTAGAGTCAGTCCAAAGGAGGGCCACCGTGATGGTCAGGGAGCTGCAGCAAAGGATGCATGAGAGGCCAAGGGAATTGGGTTTGCTCAGCCTGAAGAAGAGAAGGCTCAGAGGAGACCTTAGTGCTGCCCTACTGTCAAAGTCATGGTCAGAGGGCAGAGGGTAGACTGGCCAGATGTGGACAACAACAGTGCAAGAGGCAACAGATACAAGTTGATTTGTGGGAAATTTCAGTTCGACATGAAGAAAAATTTACCTGATTTAATTGAACATGCTTTGAGCAGGAGATCAGACCAGATGACCACCAGGGGTCCCTTCCAACCTAGATTTTTCTGTGTGAGAAGCGTTTCAATGTGCCGCTAGAGAAGGAAAATAAGACAGGAGTGATTTTTCCCAAAGATCAACAAGAACTGAATCCAACACTTATCATCATTAAAGTTAGCCTAATAGACATTCTGTCATTACAATACTGCAACACTGCACTAGGAATGTGCATTTTTCAGAATGTTAGACAGTTCTACACACATCAGAAGAAAGCACGTCTTTGCACAACACTTGCTGCAGCAGCTGGAATCAGAACACCTGTAATAAATAGCTTTATTATAAAATAGCATTCCATAAGAAACTGTTCAGTGCTCTTCTAAAAGCAAATTGAGCTTTGGGTAATTTTGCATTCAGTTAAAGCCCAGCAGAATGAAGACTTCATGCAGTGTGTAAAACTAATGCAGTTAGCTGTCCTCTGGACAAGGAAACCCCACAGAATACAACTTCAAATATGGATAAAACTTCTTGGAGAAACAAAAAGAAGAAAATAGAGGTCTCTAAGTAACCATGTCACTCAAAACAGCTGAAACTTCAGTCCTTCCATTAGATTGAGTAAAGCTGTGTGCAAGTAAAGGACATTGTTCAAATGCTGGAAGGGCCACGTATAAAGAACAGCAATGGGGCACAAAGTGAGGAACACATATTCACCCAAAAAATACAAGCAGACATCCAAGCTGTTTAAAAAGAAACAAAAAAAGGGTTCTCCTTCTGTAATAGTAAGTGAAAAAATATATAAAGCAATAAATAGGCCTTGTTTTCAAACTCAAACCAGTTTAGTTTTCAGCACTGGCAATTCACCCCACATTTATTTGTATAAGGACAAAGTGCTTCACATTAACCTCACCCTCCTTCAGCCTCTAAGAAAGCCCCCAGATGGATAAATAGCATGAAACACAGAAGGCCAGAAATGAAGAAAGGTTACTGCTTATAATGGACAATCCAGTTCATGGCCCAGCATCTTCATATGTCTGATGGAAGATGACAGGAAAAAGCGAACACTTTTATGTACTTGTGTTAACCAGGGAAGTTCTTCCCTTGCTTTCTCAGTGAGAAAAACTTCCCCTATTTTCTGGAACCAAAGAGGATATCTAATCAAGCTTTAGATTTGCTTTTAAATTCAGCTGAGTTAGCTGCTGCTTTCTGGGAGAAGCAAATGGCACAAAGGGAAAACTATGATTCTTGTCCTAATTTGTTCTCAGCACAGTTGTCTCTTGCTAGATTCTGCATTTCATTTTTGTGACTAACCCCTGTGGGTTCCCATCATCTTTTCCCCTTCTCCTCAATGTTTTCTCAATGATGCATCTCTTGCCAAATTTTATTATACATTCTGTCTAAGCCTGCTTATCTCTTTAGGAGCATTTTAGAGAAGTCTTTCACTTAAATATTTTTCACGCAGCTTCTTCATTGTTACCTTCTCTCTTTCAGTATTATAATAAAAGCTGAACCGGAATCTGCAGTCAGAAAATTTCAGCATAGGTTACCTGAAGAGTCAGAAAAATGCTGCTGCTTCTACCTCAAAAACAAGCAAATGGGATTAATTGGGCCACATGCAGGTCTCTCTCCCCCTCCCTCTCCAACTAATCACTATTGTCCATTTATGGTCTACTTGGAGAAGAGTCACTTCTACAGCACCAAAAATTTGTCCTGCTTCAGCTGTAGGTTCAGACAAATAGCTTCAGCGTATCGCCACTGGCTAAAAGCATTTCTATGCTTACTTCTGTTGTAAGCACTAAGCCACTATCAGAGAGAGCTAACTGAAATTTTGGCCACCAGCTCCCAGGGTAATCTGCAGGGTGAGCTAGCAGCCTGCTTCATGCATCTGCAAGGTGCAGTGGGACAGGGAAGGAATCTGGATTCCAGATAAGGGATTCTAAGAAGGAATTTCCCCAGGAAACAGTCAAAAACTTTTTTTTCCCCGAAGTAGACAGCAGTGATACATCCCCCAGCTCCAAAGCATGACAGGGAGCTCCGCTGAGTGGCCTTGCTGAATTTGTTTTGTTTTTTTCTGTAGAGGCCATAAGGAGTTAAGGCAAACACCAAAGTCCCTCTGTTACCTTCAGTGTGTACCAATGCTGGCAGCCTTCCCTCACCGCGCTTCATTACTTTCAGGAGCAAATAAATGAGCAATAAAAAGCTTCATTTGCTCTCTCAAGGAAACCCAAAGTGAAGCCATGCTCTGTGCCACCAACCAGGAGATGCAAGCAGGTTAGTCACCTGTCAGTAAAAGGGCAAATCCTCATGGCCCTCTTCTGGAGCACTGGCTTGGTCTCTCTGCAGACTAAAGGATGTCAGCAGGTGGCTGCAGCTCCTGGAATTCAGTTATGCCTTCATGAGAACTTGTTCAGAGCCTTTGTCGAAGTTTGTAAGGTCTCAGCTGCCTGCCAGTGGTACACATGGAAGCTATTTCAACTCTGCAGATCTATCTCTGCACAAAATCCACATCTCTGAACTGCAGCTGGACTATTTGCATCACTCTGGATATCATCAGCAAATCTGCTCTGCACAACCACTTACCTTTCACACAGACACCAAGGTTCTCTGAAACTGGACACACACCATGTCTGAAGCACAGTTTCATGGTGTAAGCTGCCACTGGGGCCACCAAGGCAAATCTGATTTTGTGCACATCTGGAACTGGCCTTGTATGTAACCAGCAACAACCACCTCCAAATCTGACCTGCACACACAACAGTAAATTTATGCAGACTGATCAATCTACTTCTTCATATCTGAAGCAAGATAAACTACCAGTGAGGAAGATGCAAGAAATGAGGCACATTTTCAATCAAAAACTACATCAATTTTTCATGTTTCCATTCTGCTTACCGGTACAGAGTCTGAAAACTTGATCGACTTCCGGCCCCTTGCAAACAATGAACATCCCAGAAGTCAAACATGCACAGAAAGCAACAACATTTCGAACTGAGCAGTCCAAGGCTAAGTAAGCTGGTACATCAGTTCCATAGGCTAGGCAGGGCAATTAAACCAGAAGCTGCTGGCTACAGGAAGTTAATAACTCAGGCTGTTCCTGTGCCCTGAGTCCCCATAATAACAGCAATATTCCGGGGGGCAAAGGAACCAGCCTTCATCAGCACTGCACTGCTTTTCTCCAGCCCAAGGTCTAAGAGATGCAATCACAAAGAAGACAATGAGGAAATGAAGCACAAACGTAGCGACTCTGCTCTGCATGAGCTAAAACACACAGAACCCAGCTTTCTACAGCCCTAACCTATGGCTATTGTTTTGAGCAAGCTCTGCCACTTTCAAGCGCAGATGAGAAAGGAGTTTGCAGGAAATACTTAGCCAAATGGTCTGTGCTTCTTTGCCAATTCACAAGATCCTAAATGTGCAGGACTTGAGGTGCAGCTCAAGGTCTTGTATGAGAAATATCCAATCTTCCTGCCTGCAACTAGAGAAGAAAGCAAGCAATAAAAATTCAAAATTTAGTAAGAAAAAAAAAACAAGATAATTGAAAACTGTACAATCAGAAATCAGTGCTAATCTCAAGTGCACAGCACCTGGGACTTATCTTTGAAGGAAATGAACTGATGTTAATAGCTCATGAAAAGCATCATTTGCACGAGCTATTGCATGAAAGCAGTAAGAATGGTATTGGACTCATCACAGGAAGACTTTCTAACAATGGTAAGGAAAAATCACTGTTTTAGTCACTGCTTATCCAGGGAACTAAGGACAAGAAATGAAAAATTGCAGACATCTGTACTGCATACTGCTGTATTATACCTCACATAGCATACATTTTAATATCCTTACCATTGTCGAGTGTAAACTAGACTCCAGTAACAAAGTGCTCATACAACATGCATATGAATTACCAACAAATACATCTAGTTTTCCTTGAACACTTCATGTATTGTGGAGCTTTGCTGCAGCGTAGGAGGCCTCCACACCGCTGTGTACAGTTTGCATGCAAATTGCATTGCTGCCATTTGTGCCTAGTTTAAAAGCAATTACTGTATGAATTTAAAGTAAAGTTTAACATATGAAAGACAGAAACAGTTGGCTAAGTATTTTCCTAAAAGATCATAAACATGTATGCAAACACCAGTGCCCACTTATCAGCTCTGCTCAGTAGGGGCCACCTCAAGATGGGCAGAAAAACATACAAAATCATATTGCACTGCACTCACAGGCAACTAATGGATTTGAGAAAAAGTTGATACCTTGCATGCTCACTTTTAAGTCTTGTCTTTGAAGAAAGCTAAATTGTACCTAATGAGATATCATAAAAGCTATATATTCCTTCTATTCTTAAAAAGTTTCAATCTTGAGCTGATAATAAAGGTACAGGGAATTGTCAGAGTTAGCAGAGAGCATTGAAGCAGCTAGCTTAGTTTAAATGTGGTACCAAAAGCCTGAAAAATTACAGCCAGAATAGACAATTCTAAGACAGCATTATCTACAACCAAAAAAAAGAGATATTAGCCATAATTCCATGTATTTCCTGCAGCCAGGACAGGACTTTACATTCAACCTATCTTCACGCTTCAAAGCCTAGCTTCAGTTGAGTTCAAAAACCATATATCAGATTTTGCCATCCTGAGTGTCAAAATGAAGTATTACAAGTGTCCACACTTCCACCCAAATAATAAATCTCCACAAAAAACACACAATTTGACAGCTGTTTTAGTCACAGTAGAACAAGACTAACTCTTCTTTCCAAGCAAAGGCTGTTTTTCTAAAGAAAGAAAACCATATCGGAACAACAGGTTCTAATTTCAGAGCCACTGTAAAGAGCAAGGGCAATCCTTCCAGCTATTCATTGACAGCCCAACCCCTCCATTGCACAGCACTGACCTTATGAGAAGCAGCAGGCTCACAAACACAGCACAGCTGTGGCTGGAGGAGAGCTCCAGGTCCACCTGTGTCCCCATCCTCTCAGTCCTGCACATATGGCAGCTCCACAACTTCAGGTCCTTCAACACTAGTCACACTAGGAAAAGCCCTACCAGGGAGCCATAAACCACTGACATCTTTTCATTCCTACATTTGTACAAATGCTGACAGAAAGGTACAGGCACTCAACACCTCTCTGAAAGGACAACTTGCTAGTACCTCAGCAGCTTAGAATTCTGCTCATTTTTAATCTTCTGCACTACAGCTTGTTTGGCTTTAACCCTTCAGTAAATATAGATAGAAGTCCCAGGCTGAGCTGTTACAGAAAAGCCTCAAGCATGTCCAACAAGGAGGTCAGAGGGAGCCATGCAGGAAGGTTGCAGAGGACCTGCCCTGAATGCATTGGTTTGGGCAGCATTATTTTCCTCAGTTTTCAAAACTAAGCTCACTTGGCAAAGAAGTCTTAATTTTTCTCCTAATAAATGCTTATTTTCACCCTCAGCTCAGAGCTCTGTCTTGGTTGTGCATCAATGAGAAAGATCAATGAAGCACCAGAGCTGAAAAGCAGAGTGGGTCTCTAAAGCCACCATCTCTGGGATGCAAAGCAGTGCTTGATCTTTTCAGTTTGAAAAGTCACTGAGGCATTATGTTTCTTCGAGAACAAAATAAAATAAATAACACAGCTTCTCTTGTAAACTTCCACACTGGGATGTGGAATGTGTTCTGAACTCCTGCAGTTCACCACCAACGCAATCAGCGAACGTTTCCAGCAGCCACTGAAATTGAATGTCTTTGAAAGGGCAGACTGGCTCAGAGTTTTTTCAAGCCAGAAATGTTTTTACCTGCCTTTACATATAAGCCTTCACTCTGGTGCTATGGAAGAGGCAAGCAATGTACTGTAGTGCCTCAAATACAATTTCAGGTAAATACTTCCAAGCACACATCCGAACACTGTCATCCTACTCCCCATCTCATCCCAGTGATGCACCAGGCTACAAACAAGCAACGAGAGCCCAAGGAAACAGCAGCACAGCCAGGACCCACTGCAATGAGAATGCACAACAGAGCTTTAATTTATTTGTGTTCAAAGCTTGCTGGTAACATCTCACACCACTGGCTTGGGGACTGGAAACTTGATTTAAACTGCAAGAGTATCGTCTGAGCTTAACCTTAAAACCTCTTCTACCACGACGAGTGTGGTAGATGAACAGAGACAGAATAAGCGCAGAACTCTGCCCAGCTCTTCTCACACACTGGATTTTTTGGTTGATGTATTTAACACTGTTTTGCCTGCGACTGATGCACTGGATTGCCTCATTACTTGAGGCTGATGGAAGCCCTCAGCCTGTAGGTCTGCTGCCTGCCTGTCCGCCTCCAGGGGTTGACTCCTGCCGTAGAAATCTGACTTAATGCTCTGATTAGGAACCTGAATCATAGAATGGTTTGTGTTGGAAGGAGCTTTTAAGATCACGTAGTTCCAACCCCCTGCTATAGGCAGGGACACCTCCCCCCAGACCAGGTTTCTCAAAGCCCCATCCAGCCTGGCCTTGAATGCTTCCACGGAAGGGACATCCACAACCTCGCTGGGCAAAACACCGATTTATTTCCGCCGTGGTCACGTAAATCTCCATCTCCGAGGGCTCGGAGGAGAGCAAAGGGAACCGCTCCCGAGCAGAGCGGAGCAGCCGTTTGGGAAGCGCCCGGAGCAGCTGCTCGGTGCTGTAGCGCAGAGCCAGGCAGCCGCTCTGACAGCACTGCCACTGCTAGACCAGAAAACTTTCTTTTTCCCGCCTTTCTTTCTTGCAGACATTCTAGGTTAGATTTTAAAGTTCGCTCACACGCTCATGAGTACGAAGGACAAAACTTTTTTATCCCATCCAAGCGGTAAAGCTTCCTACGGAAGCGGTACGTTTCCAGCTGATGCTTGCCTCTCCAGACACGGGCTCTGGAGGAGCCGATCGGAGGAGCGCGACAGCAGCCTTTCCACAGCCAACGCATCCCACAGCGCCGAAGCCGCCCCGAGCGTTCTGCAGAGACGAAGGCAGTAACCCCGGAGGCTCCCCTCACACACTCCCGCCGCCGCAGCGCCGCCCCTTCACAGCGCTGCCCGCCCCGCAAGCGCCGCGAGAAGCCCCCGCCGCCACACCGCCCGCCGCCGCCCTACCTGCTGTGGCGCCGCCCAGCGGCGGTGGCAGTAGCTGCAACACCGCACCAAACCGAGCCGAGCCGAGCCGCGCCCGGCTACAGCCAATGAATCAGCAGCGGCCGCGGCCCCCCGGCGGCATGGCACGGGCACGTGACGCGCCCGGACCAATAGGCGGCGCGGGCGGGAGCTGTCCTAGGTGCTTGCTGCGGCGCGGAGCCCACACCGACGCGTGGGCGGCCGCGGGCAGCCGGCGGGGCGGGAGCCGCGGTGTCGAGGGAAGGAGGAGAGGGGCGGCCGTTAGCACACGTTTTTATTATGCTTAACGGACGTTTCTGTATTTCAGTTTGCATCTGTTACTCACGTCCTGTCACTGGGTACCATGGGGAAGAATCTGGCTCCTTCTTCCTCCACCGGTAAGGGCGCACCAGTAAACACCTCAGAGCCAGAGCTAAGCAGTAGACACCAGTAAATACCTCAGAGCCAGGCTAAGCAGCCTCTCCTCAGACAGCAGCTGCTCAATCTTTGTGGCATTTAATCATCTTCACAGCCATCGAGTGGTCTTGCACAGCAGTCCAGCAGAGCCCTCACCCTGCTGTGGTGCTTGCCACTGAACTTCCTAGTGAGTCCTTGCAAGTGCACAGGCATTTATTCTTTAGCACCAGCCTCTCTTTATTGTTCAGACCCATTTGCCTTCCTGCATTTCACCGCAGGTCATCTACAAGTAAGGATATCAATGAAACCTCAGGTTTTCAACTCTTATTCTCTCCAGGCAAAGTTGTGATCTCAAACAGTCCTCTCACCTTCAACTCAGAAATATAAAACCAATGCTTATGCATCATCGCTATCAGAATCGAATAAACACAATGGAACCTCCCTTCTACTGATTTCATTGACATTTAAAAGGCAGCATGACTCAGGATTTTGTTGTATTTCCTAGGCTTAAAAACAACTTAGCACTCCAATTTCCTCCCCAGGAAGGAAGTTCCATGTAGTTCCATCACTTCCACTTCATCTCCTTTGATTTGG